CCTCCCACTGATTGAGCTTCTGTTCTTACAGTGCCCTGCAATACGCAGATACTGAGGTGTGGACTACTCTGCTGGACCTACAGGGTCCCGTTATAACCATAATGAGGGTGACCCCCCCTCGCTGACTACACTGCTGGGTGTACAGACCTCTATGATACCACACTGAGGGTGACCCCCTCTTACCTACAGCACTGCTGGATCTGCAATGCCCGGTTCTGGTTATATGAGGGTGACCCCCTCCTGCCGTCTACACTGCTGGACCGGCAATGTTTGGTTACTTTATTATACGGCTAACCACTTCGGCACTACTGTACCTACAGTGTCCGATTATGTTCAGACTGAGGGTGACCCCCTCCCCTGCTGGCCTAAACTGCATGGTATGCTTGTGCTTGTTGGGTGACCCCCTCTTGCACGCTGGGTGACCCCCAGCTGGCCGCACCACTGTACCTACAGTGTCCGATTATGTTCAGACTGAGGGTGACCCCCTCCCCTGCTGGCCTAAACCCTCTTGCACGCTGGGTGACCCCCAGCTGGCCGCACCACTGTACCTACAGTGTCCGATTATGTTCAGACTGAGGGTGACCCCCTCCCCTGCTGGCCTATACTGCATGGTATGCTTGTGCTTGTTGGGTGACCCCCTCTTGCACACTGGGTGACCCCCAGCTGGCCGCACCAGGTATCATTTGTGCAATCACGGCTGAAGGACAAATCTCCCGTACCCAGAAGGTCACTTGGCCTGTCCTCTTGCCGCCCCGCTGACCTCACTGCCAGAAACCATCGGTGCCCTACGGGGACACTCCACCGGCCATCCTAGACGCTACACCAAGCACCCCTGGTACTCGTTGGCTAACGGATGGATTCATCAAGAGGATCAGTCTTCATGACGGAGTCCGGAAAGGACACCGCAAACACCTGACACGGGGTTTGCACTCTATCTGGGACTAACCAGTGGGTGTCGGTGACACGCGGAAACAGATGTTTCCTTGGGACGAACGGCACGTTACGGCTTGGAAAGCGGAGAAGACTAAATTCCCACTGGGAATGGACCGATATGACTTATAGGTATCGCCTAGTTGGTTTCTACCCCTGAGAACCGCAAAACGGCCCCTGTCCAAGCTGGACATCAAACTGATGGATTTAGCATCCAAGTGCTGGGTCTGCTCTCCGGAGTTACCCTCGTCTACAAATTGAGCCGACATGTCTCTATTCATAGGGTTCCCCCTTAACTAGCCCAGAGGTCTCTCTGGCCGTGCCCGGACTCCAGATCAAGGTTGCGGAACCTTGGACCGTTCCATGAGCGATACGCATGACCAAAAGAGGCATCCATTCCGACTCATTCCGCAGTTGCCCTGCTGGGCAAAGGGTGCGGTGGAGTGGACTCCCGCCCCATCCCCACGCTACATGCTCCCAGTGCATGTCGTCTGTTGACACATTTTGAGACGGAGGGCACTCATCCCCTCTGAGAGCTGCTCGGCGTTGACGATTGGTTCTCTCCCTCAAATGCACATGAGAGAAACCCGCATGGATTTTGCCATCAACATGGACATATTGAATCTGACTCACTCCAAGTCAACCCAGTTTCCGGTCTTTCATGGAATATTCGGTCCAGGCGGTGCTCCGCCTCCCGAGGACCAAGATGTCCGTCTTCAATGAAAATACCAGGTATATGCTTCGCAACCTGCGGGTTACACTTAGGGGCCCAACCCGGTTAATTGACCGGTGCCTATTCGCCATGGAAGCCATACCTCAAGGATCCGGTACTATCAGCCGCTCCAACATGGCGCTTTCTCGGGTCTTTGGCCTGGTATGACCAAATCATGTGACCTTCGGATGAAGCTCATCTAAGACTTAATTGATGACTCCGGAGGAGGGACTCCTTTACGCCAACTGCATGGAACTACCTGCAGGTTTGTTCAACATTCACAGTATTGCTCGCTACCTTCCGGCATGGACTTCTCACCGGTTGCCCACTACGGACTGCAGTCGGATCTCACATAGGATCGCTATCTATAGCTTCTGGACAAGTATTCGTCATTTGTGACAGAATGTATGCGGGACGAGACACTTGTGTGGCGGACGGCTTCACCCGGCCATGGAGAGACCCCAATGATTGGTTGCCTCACCCTCCAGGGTCTCGAGTACTGGCATGATTACATTCGGTGCGAACCGCCATATGGAGCGGTTCTCCAACTGGCTGCCGGACCCTCAGCGAGGCGAGGGACGAGTTTTCCAAGCTTGGTCTCCTTCGGGGCGTACGCATCCCGTTTACCTACAGGATACTTTGGGTTTTGCTTCAGACCGAATTCCTGGAAGTGTCGTTTCGCCTGGCCAAACCACTTCGGAGGAGTCCTGCGTGCTTTCCCCTTTTTGCTGGAGTTTGCCATGGGAAGGCAATCTACGACTCCCTGTCTCTTAATGTCCCACGTGGGATCCACAGGGGTAGCCTGCCACGACTTGTGTTTGGGTCCCAATGGCGGTCCTTATCATGGCTGTCCCCATTGTCTGGCTGAGTTGCCCTCTCAGGGTAGGATCGTATGGGGCCATTCACGTCCTATGTCAGCTAGTGGACGACTCATGTGCGTTTTCTCAAGATTCTGGCATTGCTAAGGATCTCTTGGTCTGCAGTCTACCAAGAGGAGTATACCGTACGGGAGCCCTATCTCTCGACAGTTTTTTCCGCTTACGGTTTCCCCCCAGTACATCTTGTATTTCATCGCGTTCTGACGTCATGGTATCGACGTGTCTTCTTCCTTCTTGCCGTTCAGTACATCGGCTTCTGCACAACACATATTTCATTTTTATTCGTCCTCTGTGTCGTACCCCTATTCTCCGGATAGCCACAGCTCTGTTGACAGATTGTACACGACCATGTAGATCTAGGATCTGGTTCTTTCGTCCGTCTACTCATGGACAGCTGCTTATTTCTGCGTACGGCCGTTTTGGACTGTTTCTGCATCTTCGCTTGCCCGTTGGATTTGGTGGATCCTCTCATTGACTGACCTTGAGTTCCTCTGGGACACTTTTGGTTCGGGGTGCTGTCACCTCAACAATTTTGGAAGCCGTTGGGTCCCTTCTGCATTTTCTCTACACCGCTGCTTGGTTTAGGGAATCAGTTTTTCCATTCTCCTTTATTTCAGTCCTCTATCTCATATTGCTTCTGGTTCTACTATTTGGGCGTTAAAATTGCAAATATGAAGCCTCCTGTCCTGCCATAAAATTAGGGATTATTCTAGCCTCGGTGAGGGAATAATCTAAATTTTATTAAAGACAGGAGGCGAATATTTCCCCCCCCTTTTGTTACGTTCCCTCCCTGGATCTGGGTTTTATTCTATTATAAATAATTGGGGATATTGTTATGTTTTGTGAATGCATGGTTTTACATAATAAAGGTTATTTCTAATATTCAGTGATGGTTGTCCGTGTGCGTTTTATTCATCATGTTTGTGTTGTAATTATGTTTCGTCAATGCCTTTTTAGCTTAGGTACATACTAGGTCTTCATAAGATCTGTAGACTTTGTTTATTCATCAGGTATTATGATGTGAAAGTGATATTGTATGGATATGACATCTTGCCTTGACAGTTTACTTTCACAATGTTTTCTGTTTTCTTGCAGTGTAATCTGTTTTCTCTCTGGGCTTGACGATTGTTTCTCTGGATGTGTCTGCTACAAGGTGGATTCGTTGGTTTCCTTGCTCTCCTGCTCGACCTCATCAAAGAAAGAGGAAGTGGAAGAGCCTGCTTAGGGGTTTTATACTACTGTTGCTTTGTTCTGATTGGTTGTTTTGAAAAGTTCTGTTAACTGTTTCTTTGCTGCTGGAGGTTTCAGTAAAGAAGGTAAAGCAAATATTCGCCTCCTGTCTTTAATAAAATTTAGATTATTCCCTCACCGAGGCTAGAATAATCCCTAATTTTCTTTTTAAATCAAGAAGATTAATGAAAAATAGCCACCTACCATAAATAAGTATGACCTAAAGTACTCATTGTACCAAACGTGGGGTGCCCTAAGGTGTGCCTTCAAGCAGAGAGTCTAAAAAGACACTTCCAATGCAGTCATTTTTAGAGTTACCTTGAGGGCTTGTTTAAGATTGTTTTTCTTACATGTCTAACGCTATTAGAACGCCATCAATATGCCAACTGCGTTCAATTACAACATTCCCCCAGGCAAGGAAAAACCCAGTATAAATAATGTAATAGTAGGGTATAAAGGAGATTTGTGTCTTTCACACAAACCTTGTAAATGTGCATCAAACACATGCATGTAGCATGCAGAACCATGTGCAAAATGTCTTAAACTCTACAGAAAACAGGAAGATAAAATCCTACGAATGGCGGTTGAGATCAAGATTCAGATGGAATTGAAATCATAACCATTGAATTATTTTATAGACAAAAATATGATACATTAATAAAACCCCTTGCTTCTTATAAAATGTGAACTATCAGTTACAATACTAAGATAAATAGATCATTCTAACATTGTTAGGTGTATTTTAATTCATAAAAAAAAAAAGCTGTATGGATTTTAGAACTGACTTGAAATTTGAGGCCAAAATAACTGAATTGGTCATTTTGTTCTGCTTGCTTACTGTGAAGTATCCAAAGTTCACAGTTTAGTGAATAATCATGATAGATTCTACATGTAATGTTTATATACAATATATTAAACATTTATTTATTTATTTATAAAATATTTTACCGGGAAAGATACATTGAGATTTCTCTCGTTTTCAAGTATGTCCTGGGTCCACAAATCATTGCATTGTTACATAACGGTCACTAAATGTGTGTTCGGCAGAAACATGAAATTTGTTTCGCAGAAAAGATCAATTATATACTGAAATTTTTTTCTCACCTGAAAAAATACAAATCACAACTCCACAGGCTCCATGTAAAGTCTTGTTTTTGTCCAAAAGTCTTCTTGTTTTCCTTTTAACAAGCTGTAAAATGCAGCATAAGCATTAAAGATACATTAGAACAGTCTTTAAATTTAGCTCATTTTGTCATTCAGATGTCTTTTAAAGGGCTCTTTGACATCACAGGTGGGGGTCCGGTGGCCAGGTGGCACATGGAAAGGTGAGTTTAATTCATTTCAGCTCCTGAAAGAGCGAAAGTACAGCATTGAGGCATATGGATGCTCCCGCAAGACCACGGGATTCTCCATATACAGAGCCAATTCCTGCAGCCGTTACTGGTGGCGGTATAGGTATTGACACTTCTAGATGCCGATAGTCCTGCTCTGTGTTATTTTCCAGAGGTGGGGGTGGGTGACAGTGTCACCTTAAATGGTTTGTATATCAACTTAGTCCATCTCCTTATAACACACACTCTACCTCTAAAATCATTTTGGCTTCATTTCATATTAATCCATATACTCTGCTTTATGCTTCAATCATAAAATTGCCACATATGTGACCCAAATACCTTTAGTGGTTTGGCACTAAAATAATTAATTGCAGTGAATAAAAAAACAAAATGCCCAATTCAGTCAAAAAGTCACAGATTGATGAAATGTTCAATTTGGTTTTCAATTCACTCCTATTTGGTTTAGTGAATAAAACCCTTTATCATTTTGCCTTTGACCTCTTTACTACATATCATTACCAAATTTTGAGAAGTTTTACAATTAATTGTTTCGAGACTATAATGTAAACATTTCCACTAGTTTCTCTGTAGCTTTTCAGTTGCACCAGGTATAGTTAATATTTAGGCCCTGTCATCTTATTCTCACTTCCATCTTTTACTTCATTAGATATCCTTAGATATATCTAAACTGGCTGTGCCCCGTACAACCCGGCCAGCTTGTATAACTGTAGGGAAAATTACCATGCATCCCAGATTTTCACATCATTTAAAGGAACGTCATTACCACCCTCTTTGTTATTTAAATCCCTCAAACACACTCTTGCCTTTGGGTGGAAAAAGATCACTCCGAGCTAAGCTATGTGATACTGATCTTTCCTAATACAAAAAGGGTCTTTGCCTAACACGGACCTGTGCCTATTACATGGCCAAAAATCTTCTCCGTCTTTACATAGGGCACAAATCCCTTTGGAGAATGAGTTGCTTGATTAACTAACTTAGCTCGGATCCCATGTTTGCTAAATGTTTTTACCCTGTCTATACATTACCTAAAACCGATTCTACTATTGTAAAATTATAGGATATTAGGTATAATTTATAACTAGGTATTAATACAAAAGAGAAGCATTAAATAAAATGTTTGTTTGTTTTATATACCTTTTTCGATCCACGGAGCATAGCAAGCAGTATTCGGCACATTGGTAGAAGGATCAAACTGCTATTGAGGTTCAGGACTGAAGCGGACGCTCTGCTGATACACAGTCCTAACTAAACAAAAAAAGAAGTGTCAAAACACAGCAGTCCTAATGAAACATAAGCAAATCCCCAATTTTATAGATATATTCTTTAAAATGTTATTAAATAAATTCACAATTTAGTTCAGTCCAGGCACAGTTACAGGAGAAGAAAATTAAATTAAGACTAAAAAGAAACATTGTTTTTGTTTCTCCTACTGTTTTTATGCTTTTTTTGTGCTAACTACATGATGTAAAGAACATTACTTATAACAATGATAAAAATTTTACTCTAAACACCATAACCACTGCAGCCTGGTGCAATTTCCTGATAATGGTTAAAAACTGTGTAGCAACTCTTCTAATAACTTCTTCCAGAGCTGCAGAAACTGGATACAGATCCTGCTAGTCATTCATTGGATGAGAGCATCAGCTGATCGCTGTCAGCCAATAAATGACCCTCTGTGTACAGAAATATGCAGAGAACTGGAACTCTTGTTCTGGGCTGCATAAAGGCATACTAAAGACCTGGATTAAGACAGATTGGAGTTATACCTCTGGCAACATCATCTAGTATTGATATATGTTACATAGTTAACGTTACATAGCTGAAAAGTGACATCAAGTTCACACATTCGATTTTTGCTGTTGATCCAAATGAAGGCAAAAACCCCAGTTTGAAGCACTTTCAATTTTGCAACAAACTAGGAAAAATTCCTTCTTGACTCCAGAATGGCAGTCAGATATCTCCTTGGATCAAGAAGCTATTACCCCACTAATTAGAAATTATATCTTGAATATTATGTTTCTGCAAGTATTTATCCAATTTTATAACATGACAGGAGGCTTCGTATTTGCTTAAGTCTTTCTTTACTTAAGCTTCACAGCAGCACTTTTTTACTTAGTAACAGGGTAACCAATCAGAAAAAAGAGATAACAAGGTATAAGAGTCCCTCCCTGTGATGTCACTTCCTCTTTCTTTGCTGCTTCACACCAGTACAGGTCAGAGTGCCACTGCCTCTTACTTTCTGTGGGTTATTTACTCTCCTGTTTATTCTAACTTGTTTATTTAATCTTTGTTTTTTCCCATACTTTAACTATACTTATTTTCCTATTTCTAAGGTGTTTGTTCCACCTTAGCTATCTTTCTAAAAAAAAAAAAAATTTTCTCTTAACTTTTTCTCTATTACTGCCTAATTTGCTCTTCTATTCCTTTTTGCACTGTCCCTTACGTTCTGTTTCACTTTTCTATACATTTAATTGTTTTTTTTTACCTCTATTGGTCCGGGTTGCGGTCGGCATATTTTGCCCCGTTTTTCCCGGGCTTTTGGGCTGTGGAGTACGCCTCCATCGGCCCTGAGTGCGCACGGCGGCCATCTTGGATCTCGCGCATCGCCGCGAGATCCGAACGGCCGTTTGCACCTTGTGCGCATGCGCGAGATCGCGGCGGCCATTTTGTTGGAGCCGCGATCGGCGACCATTCTAGCCGCACGGCGGCCATTTTAATTATTAATCGGCAGTACAAAAATCTTCCAAGATACTCATATATAAGTTCAACTAACTTATGTCTCTCAGGACATATCTCCCTCAGAGCAGAATTTGTTTCTCACAGAGATACTTCACTCTGTAATTCAGTTCAGGAGATTTTTCGCTTACACTACTCCCCCTGGTGGTGAATTAAAGGTATTACATTACCAATATTATAATGAATGTATATTAAACTACTCATTACCTTTATGTTGGGAGCAACCCCCAATACCAGACAACTAAATATTTATCACATTCATATTGTGATTTTTTTCTAAGGGTGAATCCCTATATATTTTATGATTGCTGTTATACCATACAGCCCATGACTGGCCCGCTTTGTCTGTGCCACCATACCTCTACACGAGTTTAAATAAGCACTCTTTGAGGTTATTGTTTCTGGGTGACCCTCATTTACAGCTTGCACTATTGAAATTAAATATCTTTTGATATACAAGACGGCCCTAAATACATTCTAATGCTGGCCTATTCTGCCCCATAGGTACCAACACTGTTGCTATGGAGGCTTCAAACCAAGACCAAAATCTGCAAGCGATTATAAACGCGGCTGTCGCCGCTTCACTAGAAAAGACCCTGGCTTGGGTGCTGCCCATTGAGCCCAAAGATACCAAAATTTATGAGCCCCCGCACTCTGATGAAGAGGCGGATGATTCCGATTCTACAAGAAGGAACCCTTCCAAACTCAATAAACGATATTGGAAAGGGGATGGGCCAGAATCACTCAAACGCAAAGGGAAAGAACCGGCAAAACACCCAAAACAAGCGGACGCCAAGGAAAAACATCCCATACAGCCTACCTTGTCAGAGGAGGAAGACGACTCTTTCGACTCACACCCATTGGCCATTCTAGATGAATGGCAAGCTGGCCACTCTTCAGAAGACGAAGAAGACTGGCCTGAGGCATCTTTCAGAGAAACACCTTTCCCTCAAGATATCACGGGAGACCCCACTACGGAGGATTCAGTACCCGAAACCTTTCTGGATACGCTTGGTGAACCTCTATTTGACCCACGACAGATCAGATACCCTCGATCTTCAGAATGGTCACTCCCAAATCACCTTTCACAATATATCCATTTCTGGATAAGGAGACCCCTAGACCGGGAGGTCCGCAAACGCCTAAGAGCTGAATGCCCTAGGCCCACCTTGCCGGACAAGGTCGCTATGACCCCGGAGTTTGATTCACTGCTCTACACATATTTTGCCAGATCTGGCCGCGACCCTAAAAAGGGCATTGAACGCAGTCTACGCCTCACCCAGGACAAGATGTTGGATGTCCTAGGGCCCTTGGCAAGAATTCTACTACTGGCTGATGAAGCCCTCTCTAACGAGGGCCCTTTAGACCCATCTGTGATCAGAGAATGGGCACTACGCTCCATTTGCCTGCTGGGCAATGCAAATACATCCCTCTCTACCGAGAGTAGAAAAGCAGTGCTGCTGCGTATGGATGCCAAACTAGCCGACCTGGGGACCAAAGAGTTGGGCCCCAAGGCCAAGGGTCTATTATTTGGAGAACCCTATATTAAAGAATTACACAAGCATGTAAATCTATACGCCACCCTGAACAAGGCGCAATCATCAATGAGAAGAGTATTCCACCAACAACCCTCTCGGGTTTTTGGTAGGGCTGGCCGTCCAAGGGGTCGTACAGTCAGCCGCTTCTGGCCTACAAGCCAACGCCAACGAACCCCCACTTCACCATTCTTCCCCAACTATCAATCTAGAGGCTTCTACACCCAAAGATCAGATAGGGGACGAGGAGCTAGAGCCCGTGGACGCTACAGATACCCAACAGGTGAGATTTCCTACTTTTCACCTCTCTACGGTTCCTCATGCGGGCAGGTTGTTACATTGTGTGGATATGTGGAAGACGCTGTCTTCAGATACATGGGTTCTAAACACGGTGCAGGGTTATTTCATAGAGTTTTATTCTCTCCCTACTCAAACAGGTCCCCCTCATTACCCGATAATGTCAAAATCTCAATGGCTCCTCCTCGATTCAGAACTACGTTCCTTGCTAGCAAAAGGAGCGATTCAACCTGCTCCACACGACGAAGGCTTTCTAAGTTCCATATTCCTGGTCAAAAAGAAATCGGGAGAATTCCGCCCGGTAATCAACCTTCGCCAATTGAATACCTTCGTGATATACAGGCATTTCAAAATGGAAGGGATACATCTCCTCAGAGACATTCTCCGACCAGGCGATTGGTTCACCCGACTCGACCTCAAGGATGCTTACCTCTCCGTGCCAGTACATCCATCCAGTCGACGTTTCCTCCGCTTCCCTTGGCACCACCGGATCTTCCAATTCACCTGCCTTCCATTCGGCCTGAGTTCCGCTCCCTGGTGCTTCACCAAACTGCTCAAGCCAGTCACCGCACATCTTCGAGCAAGGGGTTTTCGCTGCATAATCTACCTCGACGACCTCTTACTACTCTGCGACGACACCTCCAGGCTGCAATCACAGACCGACTACACATCCTCATTGATAGAATCCTTGGGATTCGTCATCAACAAGGAAAAATCCTCGCTGACTCCATCCCAAATCATACAGTTTCTCGGTTTCGAGATCGACTCCTCCACCTGTGTTCTCCGCCTGCCTCAGTCCAAGTTAACTGCGATCAGGAAGGAAGACGCTTCGTCAAGTGGATCTACCTCTCCGAGGTTTAGCTCGAATTATAGGCCTGCTTTCTGCCTCCATTCAAGCAATCTACCCAGGTCCCCTCCATTATCGGGCCATGCAACGCTTGAAGGCTCAATTCCTCCAGACCCATCCATCATACGACCAAAGGATCCCAATCACTACCGAGGTGAGGGAGGAACTCTACTGGTGGCTTCGCCACATGTCTGCCTGGAACGGCAAAGCAATTTTTGGTCCCACTCCGGACTTTGTGGTGGAATCAGACGCGAGCCTCCAAGGCTGGGGCGCAACTTGTCATACAACTTCCACCGGGGGACCATGGACCGATGCAGAACACTCTCTCCACATCAACTGTCTGGAATTAATCGCAGGATCGTTTGCAATCCGCAGTCTGGCCAATCATCTCTCAGACTGTTGTATTCTCCTCCGAATGGACAATATCTCGGCCGTTCAATACATCAACAAATTGGGCGGGGCCAGATCTCACACCCTGTCCGAGGTGACAAAGGACATCTACAATTTTTGCTTCCAGCGCAACATAACACTCAGGGCAGAATACCTCCCGGGGGAGAGGAACACCACCGCGGATTGGTTCTCCCAACATTAGAGAGACGGCAGCGACTGGTGCTTACACAGGTCAGTCTTCCTCCACGTCTCCAAACTCAGGGGCCCGTTTATTCTGGACCTTTTCGCCTCCCGGACGAATTTTCAAGTCCCACGCTTCTTCAGCTGGCTACCAGACCCGGAATGTTCGGCAGTAGATGCCTTTCTTCAGACATGGCCGACGACGGGAGCCTACGCCTTCCCTCCGTTTGCAATGATCCCAAGAACTCTTCTTCAGATTCGCCGACAACAGGTCACACTGGTACTACTCACCCCGCTCTGGCAGGGCCAAGCATGGTTCCCAGATCTCCTGGACCTCTCCTGCCAACATCCCCTCCTTCTACCTCTAAGGCCCAACCTGTTAGAGGACCCTCTAGGAAACCCTCATCCGATGATCATGCAAGGTCATCTCCAATTAGTGGCTTGGACTCTTTCAGGGGATCCTGGAATTTCGGAGAATTATCGCAGAGATCTAAAGAACTTCTCTGGGATTCCTGGGCTCCTGGAACCAGAAGATGCTACCTTTCTTCCTGGAGTACTTGGTGCAATTGGTGCATGGAACGGAATACCGATCCCCTTACAGCCCCTAGACAGTTCATACTGAATTTCCTCTCGCATCTGTTCGACTTAGGCCGTTCATACCGATTCATCAATGTGGCCCGGTCAGCAATCTCGGCAGCCCATATCCCTCTACACGGAGTTCCAGCAGGCCAGGACCCGCTAGTTTGCAGACTATTGAGGGGCATCAAACTGGCTCGCCCCCCAACACCTAAATACTCCCATCTATGGGATGTTAATGTCATGATTCGTTTCCTGGAAACCTGGACGAACAACGAAGATCTAACCCTCCGTCAACTCTCGGCAAAATTCACCCTGCTACTCTGCTTAGTATCCTTCCGACGAGTGTCGGATGTTCGTGCATTTGACCATGACGCTATCAATTTTTCCCCCGAAGGTGTCACCTTTTCCGTGTCCAGACGGACAAAATCAAACTCTTCTTCGGTGTTTTACCCTTATTTCCCTAACCATCCAAAATTGTGCGTGGTATCACTTCTCTCTCGTTATTTACTACTCACCTCCTCTCTTCGTTCATCCTCCTCCAGCCAACTATTGATCTCCTATGTCCGACCACATAATCTGGTGTCGACCATAACCCTTGCCCGATGGGTTAGGTGGTTGCTCTCCCTTGCGGGGATTGAGGCCTCCTTCGGAGCCCACTCCATCAGGGGAGCGGCGGCATCGGGAGCTTTCAGCGCTGGAGCCTCACTTCGGGACATTCTCCACTCAGCAGACTGGTCCCGGGAACAGACTTTCCGCAACTTCTATTTTCGTCCGGCTGTGCACGCTTCCTTAGCCCTTCTTGGGGAGCGTTAAAACAGCAAATACGAAGCCTCCTGTCATGTTATAAAATTGTAGATTATGCTAACTTTAGTGTACCGATAATCTTAATTTTATTAATGACAGGAGGCGAGTATTTCCCACCCTTCACTCTCGTTCTTTTTCCCCTCCCTAAGGTCACCTATCTAGGTAAGTTCATCTAGACTAAATACATACACTATGTACCTCTACCTTGGGGAGGGCTAAGGGTTATTCTCTAGGGGTGGATTGTTTACACTTTGTGGAAGGCGGGCTTTAAGACGGGATTTTCTATACCGAATGTCATATTTTATAAGTCCAATTCTCGGATTAATCCTTGGTTTCGACTCTGCTTTCTCGTTTCAGCATAAAGCCCCCTCATGAGGACAAGCTCAGTTGCCGTTCCATCTCAAGCATCACCTCAGCTCTCTAAGAAGACATGCTTTCGTTCCTGTTCCCTCTCTAACATCTGCTTTCTCATCTGGCATCCTGAATTCCTCATCCGGTTCAGTTGCAGTTCCTGTTCCTGTTTGTTCGCAGCCAGAAAGAGGAAGTGACATCACAGGGAGGGACTCTTATACCTTGTTATCTCTTTTTTCTGATTGGTTACCCTGTTACTAAGTAAAAAAGTGCTGCTGTGAAGCTTAAGTAAAGAAAGACTTAAGCAAATACTCGCCTCCTGTCATTAATAAAATTAAGATTATCGGTACACTAAAATTAGCATAATCTACAATTGTTATTTAAACATATGTATAGACTCTGATAAAACCACCTCTTCAGGCAGAGAATTCCACATCCTTATTGTTCTTACTGTAACAATTCCTTTCCTTTGCCTTAGACTAGATCTCCTTTCTTCCAGTCTAAATGTGTAACCTTTGCATGTGTCCTATGTATAACCCTGTTTATGAAAAGATTTCCAGAAAGTGCAGCATTCTGTAATGAAATGCTACAGGCAGCATATAAGGGAAATATAAATATAGAATTCAAAATCTAGGTAAGTGACAATCCTCCTTAAAAATACATGTGTTTTAAGTGGGTGCCATTAATCATCTGTCATTTGCTCTTTTAGCAAGCCTATGTAGTAAGCGCTTGTAAAGGATTTACCCCAAAAGTAAAAAGCAGCCATTCTGACATTCCTGCATCCACCAGCTTTGAAGGCGGTAGTAAGTGAACGATTCTTACTTCGTTAAATAATCTTCAAGTACAATTCAATGGAAGAATAGCAATAACAATATTATCACTAATACTAATAAAAGGTACAACAGGAATGTGTCATTAACACAGTAAAGGAGTTTAAGCATGTGTGGGATAGGCATAAGGCTATCCTGGACTTAAGATAAGGCCAGGAACTAATTAATAATATTAATATTTATAAAGCGCCAACAGATTCCGTAGCGCTTTACAATAGGTGGACTAACAAACATGTAATTGTAACCAGACAAATTTGATGCACAGGAACAGAAGGGTTGAGAGCCCTGTTCAATGAGCTTACATGCTAGAGCAGGCATAGGCAGCCTTCGGCACTCCAGATGTTTTGGACTACACCTCCCATGATGCTTTGCCAGCACTATGGGTGTCAGAGCATTATGGGAAATGTAGTCCAAAACATCTGGAGTGCCGTAGGTTGCCTATCCCTGTGCTAGAGGGAGTGGGGTATAGTGACACAAAAGGTAAGGGAAGTATTAGGGAAGTAGATTGGTAGAATAGTATTCACTGAAGACTTGGTGTGGATTTAAAAAAAAAAAAAAAAATTTAAATGACAGTAGTTGCAGGACAGGAATCAGTTGAGAGCCATTAACAGTTTAATTGATACGCTTTTGTGAAAAAGTGAGTTTTAAATGATTTTTTGAAGGAGTGGAGACTGGGTGAGTGTCTATTGGAGAAGGGAAGGGAAATGGTGCAGATGTAGAGAAGTCTTGAAGGTAAGCATGAAAGTATTTAGAAAATACATTCTATGTTTCTGTGTTTCTGTTCTAGAGGGAAGTAATAGACTTTAAGATACTTGACTGACAATCTGGACACAATACACACATATTGCATTTATCCAACCATCTGTGAACAGGAGAAGATAATCAAATACACATTGCCGGGTTATGATCTTACATGACTCCTGATTACAGACGACATGGAGAAACACTAACAAGTAATCCATAAAAATCTAATAACTAAATATGCATGGTACACCTTTTATTTTTTGCAAGACTAACAAAAATCTATGAATATCTTAAAAAATTGCTTTCAATAAATAAACACAAACAAGTGACTGGTGGGGAGAATTGCTTCCAGTGCAAACTATCATCCTACCTCGCTATCCAGAACAAAGTTTGTCAGTACTGATGCCATGCTGAACCCAATTATAATAGAGATTCCATGGGTATGAGGTTCTTCTACCATCCCAACGTACATTAATGCATATGTGAGACCCTGATCAGTCAGTGATCCTTTCCAATAAGGAGGATGAAGCTCGGTAAGTTAGAAAAATAAAGACTAAACTAGAATTCAGATCTCAGAATCGTGGACAACAAAATAATTCCAGAAATAGAAATGTATATATGATACTGAAATATCGCAATCAGCTAAAGGTGTTTGGCAAACTGTCTGTATGTGACCTGTACATGTGTGGCAAACTGAATTTCGAAAACGACATGTATTATGCCTGTGTTTTCCACCGCAACTATAACAAGTTCCTTTAAATGGAGCTGTGACATCAGTGCGTGGTGAAAAGTCTTTTGATTTAACATCAGTCTTCTTCACTAGATTTATTTCAGGTGAGTTCTCTTTGCTGGAAGAGGATTGTATCTCTTTTGAATGGACATATGCAGCCTCATTTGCAAGAGCTTCCTCTTGTGCAATAATAAAAGTTAAATTCTGTCTTGCAAGCAGTCTCCTCTGCAGTGCTTCATCTTGCACCCCACACACAAGCCTGTCCCTTAACAAGGATTCGAAGCTGGCACCAAAATTGCAATTTTCAGAGAGCCTGCGCAGTTCTGCAATGTATGCTGCAATGCTTTCACCTGGTTTCTGATTTCATCTTTTGAAATGGAAACGCCTCATTGTTTCAGATGAGGTGGGTGCTAAATGATGTTTTAACAGTGCCAGTATTTCTTCAAATGAGTAGTCTTGTGGTTTAGCAGGAGATATCAGTGAGCGGACAGTATCAAGAGTCTTAGATCCAATAACACTCAGTAACACAGCTCTCTTCGGAACAGCCTCAACCACCTTATTAACTTCCAGGAAAAACACTAACCGCTCAGCATATGAGTCTCATGAGGCTGGATTAGCCAGATCCAGGGGCGTACCTAGAGCATTTGGCACCCGGGGCGGATCCTGTGCTTGGCACCCTCTTGCCCCGCCCCACCAAATACCCGCCCCTAGCGCCAGTTCGGCTCCGCCTCCGATTTTGCTTAGCTCCACCCCACTTGTCCTCTGTGCGGCCAGTTTATCAGCTGTTTGCTTGTGTGAGCTGTACTGGCCGCACGGCACCCTAACTACCATGGGGCACTCTGTGGCCACAGCTCACACAGCCCCCTCCAGCCAGGGCCAGTGCAAGGATTTTTGCCGCCCTAGGAAAAAGTAAAGTTTGCCGCCCCCCCCCATGTGACATCACAATGCCCCACCCATATGATTTGCCATGTTATCTAACGCCAGTGCTGCAGTGCCGCCGTGTTTACATTAAAAGGCCTGCAGGGACAGGCTATAGACACTAGAACCACTACATTAAGCTGAAGTGGTTCTGGGGACTATAGTGTTTCTTTAATGTGAGGTAAATTTAGAGCTTAGTGCCACGAATAATATACTAGATTGCCTACTTACAACCAGATGAGGATGATGATGGGCTCTAGCTGCAGTCTGGCTCCACTGGTCTGGTGTAGAGCAGGCTCTCTGGAGGCTGTTTGTAACTGTGGTCACAAAAATCAATGTTCTGGGAGAACGGGAAGCAGCTCCATTTTTTGGGGGCCCTTTGCACAGCTCAAGGTCTGGGTCCCAGGGTCCACCTTCATGTTCCACCAATGAGTTTGTTCACAGGGGGTGGAGTGTGTAGGGAATGTCCTGATATGTGTGTAAGGAATGCATTGTGTGAAATTGTGTTTGTATGTGTAAGGACTGCAAGGTGTGTTTCTGTGTATGTATGGGATGCATTGAATGTGTGTAAGGGGTGCATTAAGTGTGTGTAATGAATGCATTGTGTGTTTCTGTGTGTAAGGGATGCATTGTGTGTAACGGTTGCATTGCTTGTGTATGTGTGTCTGTGTGTGTAATGCAGTGTGTGTGCAATGCATTGTGTGTTTTTCTGTGTGCAAGGGGTGCATGGTGTGTGATGAATGTAAATCTCTCCCCCACCTTCAATTTCCTTCTCTCCCCCCTCCAATTTCCTTCTCTCCCCTCCCAATTTCTTTCTTTATCCCCCTCTCCAATTTCTTTCTTTATCCCCCCTCCCAATCTTTCTTTATCCCCCCCTCTCCAATTTCCTTCTCCCCCTCCCAATTTCTTTCTTTATCCCCCCTCTCCACCCTCTCTCTCTCTTTTTCCCTCCCCACCTTTTCTTTTATCCCTCCCACTTCTTTTCTTTTATCCCTCCCACCTTTTATTTATCCTCCCAATTTCCTTATCCCCCCAATCTTTTCTCTCTTTATCCCTCTCTCCACTTCCTTCTCTCCCTCCCTACTCCCTTTTCTTTTTATCTCACCCTCCCAATCTTTTTATTCCCCCTACCCTCTCCCCTCCCACTTTCTTTCTTTTATCCCCTCCCAATCTTTCTTTATCCCCTCTCCAATTTCCTTCTCCCTCCCAATTTCTTTCTTTATCCCCTCCAATCTTTTCTTATCCCCCTCTCCGATTTCCTCCCTTTCTCCTTCCCTCCTCCCACTTTTCTTTATCCCCCTCCCACCTTTTCTTTATCCTCTCTTCCACTTCCTTTCCTCCCACCTTTTCTTTATTCCCTCCCACTTTTCTTTTTATCCCTCTCAATATTTATTTATCCCTCCCATTTCCTTATCCCTCCCTACCTTTTTATTTATCCTCCAATACCTCTTATCCCTCCAATCTTTTTATTTATCCCCACTTCCTTATCCCCCTCCCACCTTATTTATACCCTCCAATCTTTATTTATCCTCCTTCCTGCAATTTCTCCCCCCCCACCACTGTTGTAGCGTGGCCGAGCCCTGTATCATGGTCCGCGGGTACGGGGAGCTTTTGTGTACTTCCTGTTAGTCCGGCCGAGTACAGGAGACAGATGCTCCCTGTACCCGCGGACCATGATACAGAGCTCAGCCACGCTACAGTGAGGGAGTGACAGGAGGGAGCGCTGAGCGCTTCCCTCCTGTCAGCCCCTCTCCTCAGGCTGCGCCAGGGCGGGCAAAGCTGCAGCCGCCTGCGGCTCTCTACAGAGCGCTCGGGTGGCTGCAGCATGAGGGGGGCCAGCGCTCCTTGTGGCACCCCCTCCCAAGGCACCCCCCACCCTGATGGCACCCGGGGCGGACCACCCCCTCCGCACCCCCCGCCCCCCTTAGTATGCCACTAGCTAGATCAAATTCCTCCATGTGTCCCAGAGAAGCCATGCTGGAGATATTTGTAGATAATAGAATTCCAAAAGAAAAGATTTACCTCCTCCTCAGTAGTGCTGATTTTATTTCCTGTATATTTATTCTGCAGTGTCCATTTACTGACAATCCGATCCTCATCGCCAGTTTAATGTATTCGCATGTTATATATTCACAAAATGGCTCTCAGACATTGTAGTAAAATAGAACTTCTCTTTACTTCAGTACACACACATAATAACATAACACAAGAGAGACTAACACAACAGAACAAGTGCATAACTTCACTATGCTGCCATCTACTGGAAGGTGGACTGCATAACACCCCAATACATAACACTCCTGCCCCCTAGACCTCAAAGTCTTTGAGATAACTGGGAGGGTGAATATTTCTTCTTGGGCGCCCCAAAACCATGTTTGGTGCTGCTTCACCTGGACCTTCAGTTGTGCCCATCCTTTCTTCCTGTGCTCTGTCAGATGATCCGCAAGGAACTGGTTCTGCAACAACAACTCCTGGAGAACTGACACCTGTATCACCCAGTGGTTCGACATCATCTGGTATCACAGAAAACCTGGAATGACTGAGACCGACAGCAGGCACAATCTCATCACTCCATTCCCGGATCTGATCGACATGCCTTCGTAATATTCTACCATCAGGAATTCGAACTTTGTATGACAAAGATCCTGTGGCCACATGTACTTTTGCAGGTATCCATTTAGGCCCAGAAACATAGTTCCTGACATAAACAGCACTGTCAGGTGCAAATACATAACAGATGCAAATACATAACAGTTTGTAAAGTAACTTTTTGCCCCTGGTTTCCCAGATATGTGATTATAAAGTCTAGCAGAGCATCATGGGAGTGGAAGTTCTACAGTATCTGGGGTTCCACAATTAGCATTCACATTGCTAATACTCAAATAACTCTTTATTACAATCATTATTAAGGCTCTGCCAAATGTGTTGCTTTGTTTTTGTTAAGGTGTTTATAGGACGAGGGAAGCTTTCACAATACCATGGGTCTTTTGTCACAGCTTGTAAATTAACAATGAGATTTATTGTCAATCTAAAAACATGATTATAAAAAATACATTACAAGCACGTGGGTATACAGAAAACAAATTACTCATCATACACTTACTTATTAATGTTATACTTTTTCAGTCAAGAAGAATTTGAAAAATAACTTTTAAGCTTCAAGGAAACTACATTTTCTTTAACTAAGTGTAATTATGTAAAGGAATGTAGACTTGTAAAGCTGACATGTTTGGGCACGGCTGAGTCACTGAACTATCAAAGAAATACATTTTTTAATACAATATGAATAATTTCAACAAATCAGTGGAGGAGAAACTGCATACAGAGTGATGTCAGACTATCCCAGGACCAAACAGAACGAATGGTTAGAATATACAGTACACATAACTCAGTGGGTTAGATTCAAGGTACAGCTACATCATAGGACGTTTGAAATCAATACATGGTGTTCCATTAAGTTGGGTAATAATAATGTCTAGTCCCCAGGAAAAACATGAATTATTTTGTTTCCTCTTATACTGCACAGATATCCATATATTCATCTGACTAAGTGGAGACACCTTTCCTGTCATTATACTGTAGGAAATATCCCTGCTAAGTGGAGCAATTCAAACCCAGAGCCAGGGGTAATAGAGCTCTGGTACATGTGAGTTCTCTCCCAGACATTGTATAGTATTTCTATGATAGCTATATCAGATAGTCTGCACTATACTATATTTGTATTGTTTATTTTAGATATTCTACCTACTGCAGTTTGTAGCGTGCTACGATATTTGGTATTTTTTTAGGTTACCAGCCATCGATTAAAACAAAAAGACTAAATATTGCATAAAACCTATCTTAGGAAAGCTGTGTAATCTGAGTCTTTTGGTATATATTTTAACAAATTGTAAAGTGTATATCTTTTCAGTCATTCTGCATGTAGTCTGTCTCTGATTTATCACCTACCAATAAGCTATCTTGCATTCGACTCGCACTCCTGACACTCAAGGATATTCATAATTTAGCACTCCAACAAAGATAAGGACACATGGCCTTATTTCACGCTAAGAGCTTAAGTGACAGGATGTATCCATTTAAAAGAAAAAAAAATACTGAATGCACTTCTTCCATCTAGCAAGACGTGTTATATATTTAAGGGTGATGCAGCATTCTGTTTAACACAATATTTAATTTTATATGAGCACTAGTTGTGTTTTCAAATATATAATAGAAAGATAAAGTGCTCAGCGCAAAATTGGAATAATATTAATGCTCTAACTCCCAGAGCTTGACACCACCATATGTGTTACACAGGTGAATACAGTATAATTCCTTCTCCATTAATCGAGGCAACAGACACAGGTATTCCTCTATGGTATAAAAAGGAGAACTCATAGGATAACACTGTTATAAAAGAGGGTTCAATTTAAAACTCTGTATGGTCCAACTCACATTTTCAATTTTGTTTCTTTGTTTAGTATCCTCTGGTTCTACAACTAATGTTTCAAGGCCCATGAATTATCTTCTTAGCCTCCACCCAACCACCCAGGATGTGGGCAAAGATAGAAGGGTCGTTCCCTGGGCCTCTCTATGGCTATTTAATAGTCTGACCCCACCACCCCTTTGAGGTTAAGGAGTGGGTTAAGGCATATTTGCTACCATGTGAACCCTTTCCATACCTTACATACCGGCTTGAGGAAGAAGAGTTGTTGGACCTCCCTGGTTAATAGTAAGGTCTGAGCAACATAGTAAGAGCCAAAGAAAATCTGGAGGACAGCCTTTCATAGTAATTCTAGCCACACTTAGAAGACATACGTTAAACCATGCGGTGTTTTACATACAAAATTATATATTATCACTATGGGGTTCTACTATCTGAATAAAGTACCCAACTCTTTTAACTTGTTGTTTCGCTTATCTTTCTTAGAAACTCAAACATATGATCAGAAAAGTTAATGCAGATGTTCTGGGGAGATTAGCCCCCAACCTCATGTTTTTTTACAACATGGATATGAGGGATAACCCTCTCTTTATATATTTAACAAAAATAGGTGAACGAGCTGTAGCTGAAACTTGGTGTTAGAAATCCAATTGTCTGGTTTGTAGTGGATTTTTTTTAAAACTTCATTTAAGAATATCTTCAGATACTTTCACATTTTCATGCAAATAATAGGATTTATGCATGAAAATGTATCAAATATTTTTTTTTTTATTCTTTATTTTTGTTGTGCAGTTGCATATCACAAGTGATGGAGATGCCACAACAGCTCTCTCAGGTAGTCAAACAAATAACATAGGTAAACAGTTGGCATTCATTTTTTTTTTTTTAAAGGTCAATTTTACATGTTACAACAATCCTGCTAGATCTATCATTGTATCGCCATAGGTCCACCTAAGGTGAGAAGTTACATGTAGTTATCTTGGTTTTACATAGCATGTTCAGCTCTAGTTGGTGTACCATGGTCGCTTGTTTCATGTAAGTGGGTCCTAGTGGTGGCCATGGCGATAACGATTTGTACCACATTACTCGCTATTGTGTCCCTAGGTTAGGACATTGTGACCGGGTACGTTGTGCGTGAACCTAGTTCTCCCTGTCCTTAAGTTGTCCTGAGTGCCTCGTAGTTGATTGCACAATGTGTGCGTGGTCCGTGGCCCCTAGCCTAGGGGACCTTGGGGGGCGATGGAGGTGTGTTATTGGCATATGAGCTGGTTCTGCAATGGTGGTGGCTTTTGCCATGCGGTACCCGGTAATGGTTTTATCGGTATGTGAGTCATTGCCTATAAGGTGGCCCTTTGACTCAGGGAAGTATTATGTAGTTGTGTGCCTTGCAGAGTTCCCTAATTGGTGCTAAGCCCTTGGAAGATAAGTAAACGTATAACTGGAACAGAAATATTAATGTTAACTCTGGTAACTTTTTGCCAGCGGGCTAAGAAGTAGTCATTCACATCAGGTGTCTGCTATCGGGATTCCCCTCCTCCTCGGTACAAAGGGGACAGTTCTGGTGGGGTCCCATGTATGGGAGCTGGTGGGATCGTCAATTGGATCTGGTCCCAGTGGAAGCCCCAGCACCTTGAGGAAGGAGTCCGCCTCCTGGGTGGAGGTGAGATGCAGAGTAGTGCCATTGTGGTCCACAGACAGGGTTTTAGGTAGTGTCCAGCGGTATATTACATTGGCGTCTTGAAGGTGATGGGTCACTGGGCGTAGGTTTCGTCTCCATTGAAGTGTGGATCTTGTTAAGTCCTAATAAAAGGTAAGATTTGCGGATTCAAAGTCCATTGGTGTTTTGCCCTTTAGTGTGGCGAAGATGGCGTTTCTGTCCGCTTGAGTGTGGCACCTGACGATTACCATATATACTAGAGTATAAGTCGAGTTTTTCAGCACATTATTTGTGCTGAAAAACCCCCACTCGACCTATACTCGAGTCAATGTCTGTATTATGGCAACTTACAATACAGACCAGGACCGCCAGGCTCATTACAAGCCCGGCATCCTGTTGGGGGCTGGCAGAGAGCTGTAACTTACCTTTCCTGCAGCTCCTGTCAGCTCCCTTCACCTCCGGTCCTGTCAGCTCCCTTCTCCACCACTGTAAGTCTCAAGAGAGCCGCCGGGTCAGAGCGTTGCCATGGCAACGCTCCGCGCGGCACTCAGACTGCGAGACTTACAGTGGAGCTGACAGGGGAGCTGACCGGACCAGAGGAGAAGGGAGCTGACTGGAGCTGCAGGAAAGGTAAGTTACAGCTCTCTGCCAGCCCCCCTCCTACACAGCCCATACCACTGAACCACCAGGGAATGAGAGCCCCCCTCCCTGGCCAGCTAACAAGCAGGGAGGGGGGACGAAAATAAATAAATACAAATTTAAATAATAAAATAAAAATATTAATAATATAAAAAACAAATAATAATAATAATTTTAAAAAATAATAAAAATGCTCACCCCCCACCAAGGCTCTGCATCACATACACACACTGCATTCATACACACACACACACACACTGCATTCATACACACACACACACAAACTGCATTCATACACACACTGCATTCATACACACACACACACACACACTGCATTCATGCACACACACTGTATTTATACACACACTGCATTCATACACACAATGCATTCATACACATACACACTGCATTCATACAAACACACTGCATTCATACAAACACACTGCATTATATACACACACACACACTGCATTCATTATATACACACACTGTAAATAAATATTCAATTAATATAATTTTTTGGGGATCTAATTTTATTTAGAAATTTGCCAGTAGGTGCTGCATTTTCCACCCTAGTCTTATACTTGAGTCAATAAGTTTTCCCAGTTTTTTGGTTTAAAATTAGGGATCTCAACTTATATTCGGGTCGACTTGTACTCGAGTATATATGGTACATCCCTGGTTGCTTGGGGGGGTGCCTGTGGTGATTTGCGGATGCGAAACATCTCCACAATGGCCAGTTTTTTGGCCTGTGCTTGTGGCAATATGGTGGCTACCAGTCGCCTGAGGTAATGCGGCAACTCTGACTGACTGATGTCATCGGGGATTCCCCTGATTTTCACGTTGAATTTGTGGCTTCTCTCTTCTGTCGCCTCCAGTTTGCTAAGCAGAGTTGAGTGAGAGGATTTTAGTTGTGATACTGTTTCTTTAAGGCCTTTTACTTCATGTTGGATGTCGATTATGTCTTCCTCTGTGGATTTCACGCGGTCCGTGACCGCTAGGACCTCCATTTTCATTATGGCCATGTCTGCCGCGGACATTTGTTTTAGTTCCAGTAGGAGGTTTTTAATGTCCAGTTTAGTGGCTGGTGTTAGCATGTCTGGGTCAGCCTGTATGTCATGGGGTGGCCGTTGGTCTAGGGTATCCCCCTCAGCATGGTCCGAGCATTTGGAGTTGGTCTCTGGGTCAGGCGTGGCCACCATCTTTGGGCCCGCCGGGCGCTGGAGCATGGTGCTAATGTCGCAGGTGTCTTTGCACGCACCTATTGCTGTCCAATGGGATTTTCTTCCCATGGTCTCCAGGGCGGTGTGTGTGTTCTCCGCAGTCAGTGCTGCTATGGAGAGTGCTGCGCTGTGTAGCGCTGTTTCGAGGGCCCTGTAATCTGAGTAGGCCTTAGCTTTGCGGCGGATTTTCTGACCCATCTGTTGGAACGTAAATGGCATCGGTTGGATGTCGGCTTTGCTACCCCGTTCTGCCCGTGGGATTTCTGAGGTGTATGGGATCGTTTGGCTGTAATTTTTTGTCGATTTCGTCTCGTTTTAGCCGGAGCTCTCCGTGTGTGCGACCGCTTGGTTCCGCGGCTAAGCTCCACCCCGAAAATGTATCCATTTTGAAGGTGTATCTCCTTACACTAAAGTATAAATCAGATTTGGCTTGAACGAAGTTGAACGATGATAGGTCAATGCTGGTTAATGGGACACTCCTGACTTCTAAAGCACATCAAAAAGTTCAGATTTCAACAGAAATTGGCACTTTTATAAATTAACCTTGTTAAACCCCTGATTTTCAAACAGACAACCAGTCCTGTTACTTAGTAAGACGTAACTCAGTAGAGCTAAACTCAATAGGCAGCAATTGCTCAGTGCACCTGCCTTGCAAGACTTCTCTGTAAGCTGCATTAGGATGTCTGTGATTGGACAGCCACAGAAAGTCTGGGCGGGGTGGGCCCCCAGGGCGAAACGCATAAGTCACGTGGTGCCGACATTACGTACCTGGCGTCCAGGGGAGAGGAGGATCGAGCAGCAACATCGGTGGACGGTGGACCTGTAAAAGCGATCACAACTCCCCCATGAACTGTGAGCCAGCTAGATATAGCTATATAGATTTTATTGTTTATTTTCATTTTGGAAAGAAATAAAGTTTGGAATACTATTGAAAATCCATTTCCTGCTTATACAATGAGATACACTGTGTCCCTGAATCAGGTGAGCAGGATATATAGGGCTAGTACTGCAAACCCAAATATATAAAGTGTTACACTATTATACATTCTGTCTCTCGGACATTAATTGGGAACAAATACAGATAAAGTACAAATGCATTCCAATAATATCACTATTTAAATTGTAACCCCGAGCACTGGAGGATTCAAAAGGGGCCAATATATTTGTGGTGTGGACTGCACAATCTTGGGATTTCTTAAAAGTACTGTACATATAACAGAGCGTTTTTTTTAATTGCATGAACTTCATGGGGAATCAGTTCTACAAATATTTTACTCTCTAATTTGAGAGCTTTCTACAATTGTGTGCGCTAACTCACTGTTCAAAATATCATGTATTTTGAGTTTTACACGTAGGGGAAAACTAGAGGATAGCAGCACAGGTTATATAAGATTAAAGATATAATATCCTATATATATATATATTTAAAGGGAAAGCACCTCGGATTAACATCTATTAAGTTTGCATGCAGTGACAAAATCAATTTAACCTTTGGTTTTTATTTTATAATCTGATATAATTGAGGTGTGTGTACATGTGCTGTGCCTGTATGTTTAAAGTGGGGAGGACAGATATTTTCATTTTCCGTTGTATCCATAATGTAGAAAAGACTATCTCGGTGCTCTAATTTATACTAGATAAGGTAATGTAAGGTCGCCAGTCTGTCACGGTCCCTTCTCATGCATATGCATTGCAGCACTGAAGTTAATCTAGCACTATCCTAGGACATAGCTATTCTTATTTCCATAGAAGATAAAACAGCAATATTTCATCAATAAAAAAAATAATGCAAGTCTCTGGCACTGCTGCCCTTCAGCAAGCCTATAAAACAGATTTAAAAAATGATGTAATTTCACGGAACTTGCAGAGGTTTATAAATATTGAGAATAATGTAAAAAATAAAACTTTCAACTTAAAAAAAACCCAAAAGAAAGAAAAATGTGTTTTGGCTAGGCATATTAAGATTAAACTCCTAGGGATATTATTTTTTTGGCAAGACTTACCAAATAGGTAATATTCCCTAAAGGACAATTATAGCTTCAGACAGTCACTTTTATTCCTAACGAAAATAGGTTAACATTGATTTTAGCTACAGGGAGATAACGTACAATGGTGATTTTTCACAGCAATTACTTGAAAGTGGTTTCTCTGCTGCAAAAAAACACTAGATTGCTTAACATTAAATGTTCAACCTTTACAATTCATTATCCATTAATTTACATGGTGTAAAAATCAGCACACCAGAGGTACATGCCACAGGTGTGCACCTCCCTTAAAAGTGACGATAAACAAAGTTAAATGCCAATGTTCCCAATACTGCATAACAAATTTATATAAAGTTAGATTTAATTGGCAAATGCCAGTATATAAACATAGCCAGCCGCAAGGTTTGTTACATAGACAGTGTGTACTGCATAATGTATAAACACTGTATGGGTTACTATACCAAAGTAGCACAGGTACTCAATATCTTATAGAAAACACAATTCTGGAACAACACAGTCTAAAAAATTAAAGTGAGAGAGGATTTTTGAAAAATGTTAATGTGATGGTATGAATGAGATGCCAAGGTAGACAATATGGCAATAGTCCACTGGTCTTTTCTAAATTAAATTCTGGCCACTGGCTCTAACAGATTTATTTTACTTGCTTGTTGTTACATGGCCACATGGAGAAATATAGTTTCTATGTGGCATTTTGGAATTGATAAATTGTTATTCCTACTCATGTTACGAGAACATGAGTGTTCAATTTGTTCTCAGGCCTTTTATTGCCCAGGTGTGCCCAGTTGTATCTGGCAGTTTATTTATATAACAAGGCCTTTTCTAGGTCAAATTTGTACACTGAGATTTTAGGTCACCCTACTTATAACATTATATCATCCATTTTCTAATTACACCGCAGGAATGCACATGCATTAAGCAGGCCAATTTAATGAAGCTCATGTATATAGCATTTGTTGCAATTTGGATGCAACGCCCCCACCTCCTGTGGCTGTTTTTATTGTTGCTTCGAACTACAATTTCAGTATACTACGTGCATTGTTCCTAGCTGATGGAGATTGTATTATCTCCAATTAAGAGCTGAATATTATCTGTATATAGGTGGGAGCATAGAGCTCTATGTGTTGTCTGTTGGTGAAGTTTAATACAGATGTTGAATAGTACAGCTGATTGTGATAATCCCTGTGGAATCCTGAATGTTACTTTATAGCAATGATCTCAGACTCTGCCACCGCCCCATGTTAATTTCCTACAAGTCCCAAAATTCTTTGAATGTAGTAGATGACAGGAGACTCATAAAAGTTGTAGTTTAGCAGCATCCGGGCCCAGACTTGAAAACGAGGCTGGTGCTGTTCACTGCTTTGGTGCTGTTAGTGACGAAGGAGGTGATACACTTACTGATATAGATATGTAAGACCAGTGACTTCCTTCACATCCCTAGTAATGATATGGTTCAAGGTTCTGAGAGTAAACATTCATCTAATACAGTGGTTCCTAACCCAGTCCTCAAGTACCCCCTAACAGTCCTGGATTTAGGGATTAGCCAGTTGTGTCTAAGGTGCTTTAAAAAAACAAAACAAATTTTAGACACAGCAGGGTAATCACTATATCCTGGACTGCTGGGGGGTACTTGAGGACTGGGTTGGGAACCCCTGATCTAACAAATGTGTCTCTTGTGAAAGTGTGTGTGTGTGTGTTTGTCTGGATAAAAAAAATCTCTGGCACTCCATTTGCTGAGGAATATAATTCAACATTACGATTAACATCTTGGGATTCTGGAGGCTGTGTGCCTGTCTGTCAATCTGTCTGTATGTCTGTCTATCTATCCCCAGATGTTTATCAAATGTAAATCCATGCACAATAGCACAAAATATCAGAAAGACAACAATTGTACCCGTTGTACAGTTAACATTTTGAGAATCTATTCTCTTTAAACAGATCCTGTACCCATTGTTTATTACAATTTAAAAGTACTACAAAACCAACTATATTTCTTGAAACTGAGAATGCAAATGCACAGGATCAAAGGAAGAAGACAAAGTTATTCATTATAAGGGAGGCTAGCAGGTGTGCTAATTATTAAAATTGCAACATCTGTCTGGATGTGCAAAAAGTTGAATACTATGATTTACTAACTTTACATGGTAGAGCGAGGAGTAACTTTCTTCCAACTGTCTGTCTATCTAGTGATCTACCAACATTTTAAATATATATTACAATAGCATTATTTCCCCATAACACATACCTCGTTGTTAGATATCCTGTAGATATATGTGTACTTTATGACATTTTTAGAGTTAGTATAAGGAAGAAACCAAGAAAACCCAGAATATACAGGTGATACTCGAAAAATTAGAATATTGTGCAAAAGTTCATTTATTTCAGTAATGCAACGTAAAAGGGGAAACTAATATATGAGATAGACGCATTACATGCAAAGCAAGATAGCTCAAGCCGTGATTTGTATAAGTGCGATGATTATGGCTTACAGCTCATGAAAACCCCAAATCCACAATCTCAGTAAATCAGAATATTACATGCAATCAATAAAATAAGGAGTGTACATAGAACAATATTGGACCTCTGAACAGTATAAGCATGCATATGGACTCAGTACTTGGTTTGGGCCCCTTTTGCAGCAATTACTGCCTCAATGCGGCGTGGCATGGAAGCTACCAGCCTGTGGCACTGCTGAGGTGTTATGGAAGACCAGGATGCTTCAATAGCGGCCTTCAGCTCTTCTGCATTGTTCAGTCTCATGTCTCTCATCTTTCTCTTGGCAATGCCCCATAGATTCCCAATGGGGTTCAGGTCAGGCGAGTTTGCTGGCCAATCAAGCACAGTAATCCCATGGTCATTTCACCAGGCTTTGGTGCTTTTGGCAGTGTGGGCAGGTGCCAAGTCCTGCTGGAAAAAGAGGAATACGACATCTGAAGCCTATGTCCAGGATCCGTCTGTGTGTGGTGGCTCTTGATGCACTGACTCCAGCCTCAGTCCACTCTTTGTGAAAGTCCCCAACACTTTTGAATGGCCTTTTCCTGACAATCCTCTCCAGGCTGCGGTCATCCCTGCTGCTTGTGTACCTTTTTCTTCCACACTTTTCCCTTCCACATAACTTTCTATTAATGTGCTTTGATACAGCACTTTGGGAACATCCAACTTCTTCGCAATTACCTTTTGAGGCTTTCCCTCCTTAGGAAGGGTGTCAATAATGGTTTACTGCACAACTGTCATGTCAGCAGTCTTCCCCATGATTGTAATTCCTACTGAACCAGACTGAGAGACCATTTAAAGGCTCAGAAACCCTTTGCAGGTGTTATGGCTTACTTAGCTGATTAGAGTGGGACACTGTGAGCCTAGAATATTGCACCTTTTCACAATATTCTAATTTCCTGAGATTGTGGATTTGGGGTTTTCATGAGCTGTAAGCCATAATCATCACACGTATGACAAATCACAGCTTGAACTATCTTGCTTTAGATGTAATGCATCTATCTCGTATATTAGTTTCCCCTTTTACGTTGCATTACTGAAACAAATTAACTTTTGCACGATATTCAAATTTTTCGAGTATCAGCTTTATAAACTAGGTGTATTTGCAAATAATCAAGAAAGACATCAAAGAAGCTGCTGGGCATTATTATAGTCCCTGTTTAACTGATGGAATTTGAGATTTTGTAGAAATTGAAGCAAGACGCTCTTTTAAAACAATTCACGCATGGAATGCCTTTGCAATTAAAAAAGGATGACAACGGTTTGGTGACTGCGATACCGTAATGGCTAACTGTGGAGAACGAGATTGGAAATTTCAGAAAATTAAGGTCACCACTTCAGGCAAACATTTACTTAATCTTTTAATGAAGTCATTAACAGGAAGCTTAAAAAAACCCAAAAATCTTGATTTCTAACTTTCCTCATCACTAATGTCGGCTTCTTTCCAAATATTCTGTTCTGTGTGATCCAATCAGCATAATTAATCCCTGTGATCTTAATCCTATGAAATGTCAAAATACTTTAGGACAAGCTATATCATAAGTCACCTTTTTCTGATAAGGAAGATGACTTGTAATATTTATTAATGTACGCATGTTTTCCCAGACTAACGGAGAGGTAGCCTACCACAGCGCCATGTTCCTTTACAGATAATGCACAGGCAAAGAGAATAAGTCAATTTTTTTACTCAATTAAGGATATAATTTTGCATTTCTGTTATGGTTTTAGCAGCTTTTATATTTTTCTCCTTTAAACAGAATGGTCCATCAATAATTATTATTTATATTTTTCTTCACACTGCAGAATTGCTTATCAACTACTACACAGGAACAAGGGGAGCAAGAGGTGTGTGTGGTCAGCCATTACAATACCTCACTCACAACACCAGAGCATGTCAGAATGACATATGCTTAAAGGATCACTATAGTGTCAGGAAAAGGAATGTGCATGTGCCTGTGCGGCAAGAGCCGCGCGCGCATTCTAACAGTCCATAGGAAAGCATTTCTCAATACTTTCCTATTGACGTTCTGCACGCTGGATGCAAATTTCGCATCCAGCGTCGCAGAAGCGCCTCTAACGGCTGTCAGGAAGAAAGCCACTACAGGTTGGATTAACCCTTCTCTGAAACTGCTATGTTTGCATGTGAAGGGTTAAAACCTGGCACCTAGACCACTTCATTGGACTGAAGTTGTCTGGGTGACTATAGTGTCCCTTTAACTTATTATGTCTGCATTCAGCTATCTAATGTATTAACTAGTCATGGTTAAATAACTAAATTTTCATCAGAAGCTCATATGTCCAGATATTGCATATTTGAAGCCGTGCCCCAAAAAATCAGAAATGAGGCGTGATCTAACAATTGTTTAGGTTGTTAAATTGTAGAAGTTTTAAGATGGCAAGGCACTAGACCCCACCCAAGAAAATGTGACTCCATTCCCTTTCTCTGGAAACCCCGCCTCCTGATCTGCTGGATGCATATAAAATATCAAAATGGCTGTCAACATGAAAGAAAATAGATTTGTATTTCTTTAGTTCTGTTGTAAAAAAACTCTGAGTGTCAAAGATATGACCAAAAGATTGTAAAGCAATGAGTGGGACACATTAGGGATGTGCATGGGCAAAAAAATGTGGTTAGATTCGGCACTTCCGAAATTCAGGACTGCGGCAATTCGGCACTTTGGCAATTCGGCACTTCAGTTCGGTTTGGCACTTCTGAAATTCAGGACTGCGGCAATTCGGGACTTCGGCAATTCGGCACTTCAGGAATTCGGGACTTCGGCAGTTCCCTAAACCTACCTCTAACCTTAACCCTACCCCTAACCCTATCCCTAACCCTCCCCCTTTACATTCAAACCAAAACGAATTGCACATGTCTAGGACACATGTCTGCAACTGAAGGGCTAAATGACTATTGCAAATTACTTACAGGCTTATTTACTAAAATGAGACTTCAAAGTGAATTTCACATTCAAGGCCATAGTAGATGAATGTAAAGTGTAGCTGATTTATACATTTTTCCAGTTCAGTTATTATGAACGTAAACTTGAAATTCACTTTGAATTCACCTTGAAATTTCACGTTAGAGAATTACTCTGTAAATATGAGAGCAATTAGTCTAATGAGTTACACTATTTTTTTCTTTGATACTAAAATTGTATGAAAAAAGGAAACTATAACACTTCTGAAAACAGAAATTTGAGGTTTCATGTGTGTGGCTGCAGCACCTCACACTCGCATGGCAATCATCACTGCTATGCTGATTTTGAGACGTTACATTCTCTTCGCATCGATGTTGACACTGTCCGTCATTGGTGTCATTTAGGACGCTGCATGACCATTTTCTAATATTCTTGTTAAGTGTTATTATTTTGATGCGTAGCGCTCTGTGTCATTTCTGCGATGTGTTATACGCAAGTTTTGGACACACAGAAATGAAATAGAGTAAAATTACCTATATATATATATCGCAGTCGATCTGTGGCTCATTGCCCTGCTGTCACTTTTTGTTTGGTTCCAATAAGGTGTTTACTCTGTATCTCAATTACTCTGGTTTTTGACTCAGCTTCTCCTGACTATTCTGTTTTCTGGCATCCTTGACACGGCTTTGTTTTCATGTTTACCGGACCTCTGACTCCCTTTGACCTTTACTTGTCTGTCTTTGACCTTCCTATTATCATTCTTGTCTATTCATGTTAAACCCGGCCACCCTATGGACTGGTAAATGTCTCTGTTTTTTTCTATCTACCTTTGATGGTTTCATACGCTTTGTGTTGAAATATATATACTGGTCAACCACAACATTAAAACCACTGACAGATAAAGTGAATAACACTGAATATGTCAAATGACAATGCCACCTGTCAAGGGAAGCGATATATTAAGTAGCAACTAAACAGTCAGTTTTTGAATTTCATTTGTTGGAACGAAAATATCTGAGTGACCTTGACAAGGGGCAAATAGTGATGGCTAGATGACTGGGTCAGAGCATCTCAAAAACAAGTCTTTAGCATGTTCAAGGTATGCAGTGGTTAGAACCTGCCAAAAGTGGTGCAAGGAAGGGTCATAAACTGGTATCAGAGTCATGAGTGCCCAAGGTTCATTGAAGCTTGTGTGGCGTGAAGACTACCCCATCTGATCTGATCACATAGAAAAGCTACTGTAGCTCAAATTTCTGAAAAAATTTGCCATAATAGAAAGACCGGTCAGAGTGCCCATGATGACCCCTGAACTCTGCTGAAAGCATTTCCCATAGGAATGTAAGCATCAAAAATGGACCATGGAAGAATGTTGACTGGTCTGATTAATCACGTTTTGGTGGATGTCTGGGTACATGTGTGTCATTTACGTGGGGAAGAGATGGCAGCAGGATGTACTATGGAAAGAAGACGGGCTGGCATAGGAAGTGTTATGTTCTGGGAAATCTTTTGATGGAAAACCTTCAGTTCTGGCATTCATGTGGATGTTACCACCTACATAGAGATTGTTGCAGACCACATACAGCCCTTCATGGCAATGGTGTTTTCCGATGGTAGTGGCTTCTTTATGCAGGATAATGCACTTGGCACTCTGCAAAAATTGTTCAGGAATGGTTTGAGGAATATGTCAAAGTGTTTAAAGTATTGCCTTGTCCTCCAAATTCCTCAGATCTCATTCTGATTGAGCATCTGTGAAGCATGGTGGTTCACTGATGTTTTGGGTGTGTGAGTTCTAAAGGCACAGGAAATCTTGTGAAAATTAATGGCAAGATGAATGCAGCATGTTATCAGAAAACATTGGCAGACAATTTGCATTCTTCTGCATGAAGGCTGCGCATGGGGCGCTCTTGGACTTTCCAGCATGACAATGACCCTAAGCACAAGAGTTGACCCTCCAGTGGTTACAGCAGAAAAGGGTGAAGGTTCTCGAGTGGCCATCACAGTCTTCTGACCTTAATATCATCAAGCCACTCTGGGGAGATCTCAAACTTGCGGTTCATTTAAGACAACCAAAGACTTTGCATGACCTGGAGGCATTAGGGGCCTCATAGATAACAATTACAAAAGACTGCATGCTGCCATTGATGCTAAAGAAGGTAATACACAGTATTAAGACTTTTGAACAGGGGTAATTTCATTTTTTTTCTTTGTGGCCATGTTTTGTTTTATGATTGTGCCATTCTGTTATAACGTACAGTTGAATATGAAGCCCATAAGCAATAAAAGAAATGTGTTTTGCCTGCTCACTCATGTTTTATTTAAAAATGGTACATATATGACCAATTCTCCAAGGGTATACAAACTTTGAGCACAACTGTAACTATATTTCTGTAATAGTATGAATCTACTTGGTCAAGTTTGATATTTTGCACTGCATGAGTTACAACAAAGTGGTGAAGCATTTAGCTTTTTGTTTTATTTTCATCATGGCAGCTGGGGTTAATTACAAAAACAATTAATTAAGATTATTTTTGTGAAATCAGACAACAAACATTAAACAAGATAGATTCCTACATTACTTTACATGGTCCAACACATATGTAAGTAATGTTTACTCAACTCAGTGAAATTAGTGCAATTTGTCCAAGTTTCAATAAGAGCATTCATAAAATATATTAAGATATCAGACATATCTGTATACATTTATTTTGCAATATAAATCTGTCAAAAATAATGCTAGATTGTTAACCATACAGAAATTAAACAAAAAAAAGTAAATAAAGATATAAACAGGGTCTATACTATATAAGTTATTTAATATCTGATATATCACAGATCTGCAGAGCTAACATAGTTGATGTTTTGTATATTGTATTCCTTGTTCCTTTGAGAATCGAGTAGACGATTCAGGACTAGATTAGGTGGCCACTATCCAGCTAAAACATGTGTTTCTCAATTATCTGCTCTCAAAAGGTTAATTGTTTTTGACGTTGTCAGTTTAAATTCAACTTCCTAACATCTGGTATAGAATTTAATGAACTAGTAAATAAAATCCTGAGTCACGCCAGTCGCCCTTGTTAAAATCCACGTTCACATCCTGGTTTGGAAGAAACAAAAGACCCTTGGATTTATAAATGAAAATGAAGTCAAAATGCAAACAAATGTAGTAGAAAAAAAAAAAGAAACAAAGCCAAGAGGTTTACTAACAGGACATTCAATACACACATTTTAATATAAAATAGATTAAGGATTTTTATGTCCTACTGTACTGACTCTATCTAAGCTTGAGATAGAAATTGAAGTGCTGGAGAAAGATTGCCCTGATCGATATACACGATTACGAATCAAACACAATTTAATGCAAAAATGAGTAGAAGAGACAACAAACAGTGTGATGTTGCTTAGATCAAACAAGACTATATTCTTCCATACCAAGACATGTGCTCATATGGATTTGAAAGCCCAGAAACCTATTGTTATAGGTGGTGACAGTGCCCCAAGGTAATTCAATTTCAAGGTAATGCAGAAACATATTCTCTGTTCTCTCCGACCAATCTTCATTTCTTAGCACGACTAGACAACTCCACCAAGTAATACGAAGCCTCCTTGAAAATGGCCAAATGCATTTTCATGTCTGCTCGTCTGTGCATAGCTGGAAGCTGGAGAGGCCGGAAGCAAATTCTCCAAAGTACTTAATAAAATGTACTATGTTAACACTGTAACTAAGCCCCAGGTGTATCTTTCTTAGATCAATATGTACCTTAACCACACCACTTCCTCAATGGCTTCTTCTTGACATTGTAAGTGTCTTCCTTTGATCTTACCCTTCTTTTTAACCCTATAATTCCTTGCTTAGTCATTTATAAATATATATTAGTATTGTGGTGTTGTCTCCACACATGTGGGTACCTTTTGGTTTTATAATGTGAATACATATTATACAGCCTGGTTTTTTAATGTGAATACATATTATACAGCCTGTACTATTATATATTATATTTTAGTCTTTGAGGTTTGAATTATTGTGGAAATCTATTTGCTGCTAGACATTAATACAACATTAATACTTTATATTCACAATTTATATCACTTTTCGAGGTGAAGTTGAAAAGTTTGCTGTGACTTTTATAAAAGTTTGTTGTGTCTTTGCACTTCAAAGAATGACTTGTGGACACTTTCTGAAGGATTGTGAATAGAGCAAACACTTGTCACAGGAAGAATATTTTTGTATGTATTTAAATTGTTGGGTTTTGCACATTATTGCTGATTAATACACTGGTCGCACTAAGCACTTTATCAGAAAAGGTTATTTTGAAGCTCTACACTACACTATGATTAGATTTGTGCTATGTTTGGTGTCATGTTGCTAATTAAATTAATTTTGGTTTTATTTATTTTTCATTATGGATTACTACTGCATGAATAAAAGCATAATAACGTACAATAGATACTCGATTATGACCTGTGTAAGCTATTTTGTCTCTCTTTATGCATTATATTCTTGTTATTCTGTACAGTTGCAATAGCTGAATTGCTGTAACAAATCAAATACATTGAATAAACATTTGCCATTAAATTCCATGTTTCTATATCATATATTATAAAAATGTATCAATAAAAACTATTTGAAAAGATATCGTGTGTCCTATATAACAAGGTATTATGTGTTGATGGATTATGCTTAATTTATTTATTATTATTATTACAATAATAATAATAATAATAATAATCATAATATGTATTGGGAAAGTTTTCTAAATTTAACATCCCCAAAAAATAAAATGCACAGAAATTCAAGCAAACAACAAGATTTTACCGAGGGATATACTTAGTGAGCTTGTCTGTAGTGAGCATGTGTTAGTGAGCTTGTCTGTAGTGAGCATGTGTGCCAGTGAGCTTGTCTGTAGTGAGCTTGTGTGTGTCAGTGGGCTTGTCTGTAGTGAGTTTATGTGTGTATCAGTGAGCTTGTCTGTATTGAGCTTGTATGCTTGTAAGTGAGCTTGATCACTCCCTTGGGCGGCCGGCTTCAATGTTTCCTGCACAGCTTAGCAAAGGGCATATATACACACACATATATATACACGTTTTATAACTGTGCCCCTACTTTGGTGCCTGGCCCCTCATGTGCCCTCTATAAATATGAATCCTAGAGACGCTACAGGCTTAGAGACATATATGGTTAAGCTTTTTGGGAAGCCCGAGCTGTGAGTCAGCTATTTGCAGTTCGATATACACATTAGAGAATGCTATATTAGATAGAGAAAAGAAAGACAAAATGAAAAAAAATATTCACAAATACCATAAGGTCCTGAAATGTTGCCTGATCCACTTTTTGATGAAATAGAATTTTATAACAAGACATGTAGGCTCATATTGCATATCCCTTTCTTTACTGTCCACCAATAGCAGCAAAGAATACAAACAGAATGAAAAAATAATGAACATACAGTAACATAGGCCCCTCCCCGCTCAGGTCCCAGTATAATAGGCAGCACTTCCCTTCCATTTCCCTCTTTCTTTGCTGCTCCGATACAAAGATAAGTACATGTCACATCTTCTCTCTGATTACTTGTTTATTACCTGCTATTGATATTATTATTGATATCCGTGCATTACACTGTATAGCTTTATCTGTTATTGATTCTTTTATTGTCTTCTATTTTATTTATTAGATATTTTTTATTATTTGTTTTTCTCTGCTTGTTTGATGATGTTTTTTCTGTGTACCCAGGGTCCAGACCTCCCCTGTTATATATTTTGTTTATTACCCCTTTTCAATTGACCCTGTCCTTGTGACTTTTCCTTGTGCCTTCCCTTGTGTTTTTCCTTATCTCCATCTTGCTGTTTCCTTTTGTGCCCGTTCTCCGCTGTGCTCGGCTGTTTTCCGTGCACGAATTAAGCCCTTTCGGCTGATTCGTCACGAACACATGCTGTTCACTTTTTCCCGGCAAACAGCACCATTCGCCTGTTTGCAGCGTTCAAATTATTTTTGCACGAACTGCTCGTTCGTCTGTTTTTTTCACTCTTCCTTATATTAGTCTATCTATTTCTACGAATTTGTTTCTTTTCTACCGAACGTTCGGTTCTTTAACTTAGCGAATTTTCACTATATTTTGCCGCGAATCTCGCGAGATTGTCGGCGGCCATTTTCTGACTTTCTGTCTTCCTCCCTACCTTGTATGTGCGTGTGCCACTGGTCTGGGCCCTTGTGAGATCGCTCTTGTACCTATTGCTTTCAGTTTTGGGTGACTAACCCATACTATTCTTATATCTAATTAGGGATTAGGTCCTGTTTATTCTCCATTATGCCTAAACCCAGACTACCTTCTGGATCCCCACCCTCTGGGGAGACTGATACCCCATATAATTTGGGTGAGCCCCCTGTCACCTCGGGCACTCCACCCAACATGGTAGACAGAACCACCCACCCTGAATGGGCACAATTCTTAGCGCTACAGCGCTCAGTGACAGACGCCATTATGGCAGCCATGGGGTCCATGTCATCTACCCTCTCCCATACTATTTCTCAAGCCCTATTGCCACGTCTTTCAGACGAGCATTTCTCGGGCTCCATGACGTCACTATTGAGTCCTGCTGTGGACCCGCCGGGAGAGGTACCCAGAAAGGCTACCCATAAGTCCAAACATCCCTCTGCCTCCATAAACTCTATGACTGGCGAACCTACGGTCACCCCCACGCAAAAGAGCCTTTCCACGCAAGGCAGAACGGGCGCGGCTATGGAAATGTGCCATAAACACCTGGATATTTTTTGTTTGACTTGGCGGAACACCTACGTGGCTGGGTCCAGAGAGCAATTTGTATTGCTGGGAGCATTAATACCTCCCTCTCTATAGAACGGCGTAAATCCATCTTATTTAAAATTGAACCAAAGCTGGCGAATCTTGCCCTCACAGAAGCTGGTAAGGACGCCCAAGGCTTACTCTTCGGCGATTCCTTTATTAAAGACTTAGGGCGTTTCGTTGGGGCATTTACAGCCCTTGACAAGGCCCAGGCCTCCATGAGACGGGTATTCCAGGGGCAGGTCTCCACCAGGGCCGGCAGATTCAGGAGCCATCTGTCCGGCCGTACCTACTTCCAATCCCGTGGCACGGGACGAGGCTCCTTCCAGCAACGTGCTAACTACCAGGACACTAATACCCGTCCTACTTTCTTCCCGTCACGCGGACGCCAGTGGCGATCCAGAGGTTTCCGGGGCAACTCCAGTTCCAGACGACCTTACGGTGAGTTCCCTCATACCTCGTATTTCTTCTCATGTTTGTGTAGGGGGCAGACTCCAACATTTTTTCCCAGCTTGGTCACTAATTACCTCAGACTCTTGGGTGCTGACCACTGTTCGGTGTTTCCAGATAGAACTAGTGGGGCATCTTGTACACATTCCCCCTCCTCGACTGATCTGCTTCTCACTCCAGGATCACAGATTGATCGACGAAGAACTCTCCACCCTCCTTGTCAAAGGGGCTATAGAACGGGCACCTCTCAACCCCGCAGGTGTCATAAGCAACAATTTCCTGGTGGAAAAGAAGGGCGGTCATATGAGGCCCGTCATAAATCTGCACCTCCTCAATGCCATGGTTCAGTACCGTCATTTCAAGATGGAGGGTATTCACCTGCTACGAGATCTTCTCCTACACGGAGACTGGCTAGCAAAACTAGATCTCAAAGATGCGTACCTGACTGTACCGATTGCGGTGATATCCTGACACCTCCTGCGCTTCCACTGGAGGCACAAGATTTGGCGATTTACCTGCCTGTCCTTTGGCCTCTCCTCAGCACCGTGGTGCTTCACGAAACTGCTACAACCTGCGATGGCCTGGTTGCGCATTCGGGGGGTTCGTCTAATCATATACCTAGACGACATCCTTCTCATGGCTCAGGAGCGCTCCACTCTCCTTACACACCTACGGTTGGCCATAAACCTCCTTTCTCGCTTGGGATTCATTATCAACTGGGAAAAGTCGTGCCTGACCCCCGCCACTCGCATAGAATTCCTAGGGTTCTTTCGTGGACTCGGGGGAGGCGACGCTGAGTCTGCCGATGACCAAGATTCGATCCATCCGCAAAGAGCTTCGCAGAGCCCTCATCTGGCCCCAGCTCACCTTGCGACAACTTGCACGGCTCATCGGCCTACTGGCCTCATCTATACAGGCAGTATTTCTGGGCCCGCTCCACTACCGAGCGCTACAGCGCCTGAAAATAGCGCACCTACGGGCCTGTGCATCCTACGCGGATCTGGTGTCCCTGGACAGCGAAACGAAGGACGAATTACGATGGTGGATCCTCAACCTGTCCGCGTGGAACGGCAAAGCGATCTTCGGCTCGCTGACAGAATTCACCATCAACTTCGATGCGAGCCTCCATGGCTTGGGGGCCCATTGCGAGGGGGTTTCGACAGGAGGCCGCTGGTCGGAATCCGAATCCCGGCTACACATCAACGCGCTGCAGCTCCTGGCAGGCTCCTTCACCATCCGCAGTTTTGCAAGGGACCGGGCCCTGGCATGTATCCGCCTCCGCATGGACAATGTCTCAGCAGTGAGATATGTCAACCCCCTAGGCGGTACACAGTCTGCGGTGTTGGCCAGATTGGCAAAAGACTTTTGGGAGTTTTGCCTGGAACAGAACCTGATGGTTTACGCGGAATACTTACCTGGCCTGCACAACGTTCAAGCGGACTGGGGGTCACAATATCTTTTGGACACCAGCGACTGGAGATTGGACACGGATGTGTTCTACAGTATATCATCTCTCTGGGGTCCCTTTACCATCGACCTCTTCGCATCCCAGCTCAACACCCAACTGTCATGTTTCTTCAGCTGGAGGCCGGATCCGACAGTGGAGGCAGTAGACGCCTTTCTGCAAGACTGTATGCTTTCCCTCCATTCTCCATGATCCCGTGCTCACTCCTGCAATCCCGCAGACACCGGGCCAAGTTGGTCTCCACTTCTGGGAGATGCAGTCATGGTTCCCTCAAATGCTCGAGATGACAATGGACTATCCCTGACTACTGCTGTCGTTTCACAAACTGCTGCTGGACCCGATGGGACGATGTCACCCCCTCCTGTTGGAAGGCTCCCTTCCGCTCCTGGCGTGGCGGATCTTCGGGGACCCTGGGAGATCCAGAGAGTTTTGGAAACGACTAGATGACTGTTGGCAGAAGCGTGGGCTCCCGGCACTAGACGGGCATATGGGTCAGCTTGGCGAGCTTGGGCTGGCTGGTGCCTGGCTAGGGACGCGGATCCCATTTCAGCTCCTGTAGCCATGGTCCTGCAATTTCTGACTTCCCTCTTCAAAGCGGGGAAGGCTTACCGGACTATCAACCTCTACCGGTCTGCCATCTCTTCGACTCATCAAGGATTTGACGGATGTTCTGCGGGGCAACACCCCTTCATGTGCCGACTCCTCAAGGGCTCTCGATTCTTCCGACCACCCAGGCCTCGCTACTCCACGACCTGGGATGTCTCTGTTGTATTGTCTTTTCTCTCATCCTGGCCCGCTAACTCCGCACTCTCCTTAAAACAATTATCAGCCAAGTTATTTTGCCTGCTCTGCCTTGTCTCATGCAAGAGGGTCTCGGACATCAGAGCTCTGGACTTTGACGCCAGGACATACACCCCAGATGGGGTAACGTTCAACATCAGTCGACGAACTAAGACGTCTATCGAGTCTGTGTCCTACCAGAGTTTCCCTACCTCTCCGGCATTGTGTCCAGTGGCTTGCCTTCGCGAATATGAAGATCGCATCAAACTCCACCGTACCGCTGTTTCTCCATAGCTGTTTCTATCCTTTCGTCCTCTTTTCCACCTGGTATCTAGCACCACATTGTCACGCTGGGTGAAGTGGTTATTGTCTCAGGCGGGCATTAATACCACCGTCTTTGGTGCCCATTCGGTCCGGGGGGCCTCGGCCTCTTCGATGATGACTGCAAGTGCGCTTCTGGAGGATCTCATGAGGACGGCCGATTGGTCAAGTTACATTGAATGGTTTGGTATGGTAAGTGGGGCCGTGTCGTAATGGGGTTGATTATGTACCTTGACTTGTTTAATCACTCTGAATTGTGGGACTGTAGATATGTGTGGTTTGCTTAGTCTGGCCTTGAAATTGGTTGCAAGTATTGACTTTAACCTGTGGGCTCCTATTCCTTTATGTTTTCACAGCCTGATCCGACGAGGTGGAATGCCATACTTCAGCTTGTGTGGACTCCCCCCGCTGATAGAGTTTGGTCCTGTGATTATCCAGTTGTGCTTCCCTGTTGTTGAAGTGTTATCCTCTTCTTGGCGAACAGTTCTACGTTGTCTCCTCATTGGACATTATCTCTGTTCTTGGTTATTGACGTTTTTTTGTAGGGTCGCATCTTCAGAAAGAGGGAAATGGAAGGGAAGTGCTGCCTATTATGCTGGGACCTGAGCGGGGAGTGGCCTATATTACTGTATGTTCATTATTTTTTCATTCTGTTTGTATTCTTTGCTGCTTTTGGTGGACAGTAAAGAAAGGGATATGCAATATGAGCCTCCGTGTCTTTAATAAAATCATGACTTTTCGTCATGTAATAGCAAAATCATGCAATTGTCACTTTAAATGTCATATGCACACTGTGATATATACTGTATATACATTAGGTTATAATTATATAATTAGTTATGTAATTGAAATATGAATGGCAAAAGCTAATCTGGAGAATTTTTCCAAATCAATTATTTATACCTACATTTTGTCAGTCAGATTTCCATTTACTACATTTCACTTTTAGTAAATAAGCCATTGGTGTTTATGGTTTTGATAGTATAAGCATATTTTTGTAGGATGAAGTACTTTAGTGATTTAAACTTGAACAAACCTGTCTCCAATAAAACAATCTTATTGTACAATTGACCTTTTCATAGAGAGGTCCCATGTACAATCTCAATAACTGGTCATCTGTTAAATAGCTGATCTCGACAGACTACCTGCATGTATGGTGGAACTGCATCGTTCCTCTCACTCTGAACACGAGCTGTCTCATGTGGTTGGGTCATGTAAAATGAAAGACTGGTGTGTAGTCTGTTGACCAGGCTGGTGCCTTAGTGTTCCTCCCATTATCTTGGGTGAACAGCAATTTTCAGCTAATAAATGCTGAAGACTGTGTTTTCTTGTGATGCAAGGCCATCTCAATGCTATGGACCAGTGCTCCTCAACCCTTTCCTCAAGGCACACCTAACAGTCCATGATTTAAGGGAACACCTTAGACACACCCAGGTAATCCCTAAATCCTGGACTGTTAGGAGTGCCTTGAGGAGAGGGTTGAGTAGCACTGCTATGGACAACCATATGCAGAAGGTATGAGTCTTAAATATGATTTTATATCATTGCTCTTGATTTTAATTTGGCAGCAAATGTAAGCATTTGCATCCATGTAGAAGTACGTTTACTCCCCTATTGGTATTTGCAGAATTGGTTAAGGTACTAGGAATGTTCCTTTAAAAGGTAATGGCATTTATTCCCAATTAGAAAAATGTAAATAACTACAATTTTTTTTATCAAAATAGTAACTTAATAAGAAGCGTTACTCTACAAAGTTTTTTAAACATCTGTATTTTCCAATTTCACAATTTAAAAATCCGCACTGTGGGCTTTCACTCACACCATTCCTCTTGTGTGGGAAGTCCAGAATCCTGACTTGTACAGTTTGGAGAAACCTCTTTATATGTAACTCCTCTTTATGAGTTCCTTATTGGCTCTTATGCATTGGACCTCCTGTTCATTAAGCTGGAGATAACGGTCGCCTGATCTTTACTAATGTATTTTTAATCTCTAATATCACTGATATACATTTCCACTCCGAGATCACCATGTACTAACATTAATGTCCACCTACATATAACGCTCCTACTGCGGCCTAACAAGAAGTGTTTGCTCTCCTAATATGATACAATCCTTTTCAAAGAATTTTAATTGAACATTTTTCAAACTATAGCAAAGTAAAAATTCTGGGGGAAAATAAACTAGGGAAAGGTGTATAGAAGGAAAGAAAGGGGAAAACGAGATGTGCTAAAATTCACATCTGATAAACAACATCTGTTTTTTATAAGTATTTTGTAATGTTTTGACGTCCTCCACCTGACGCTGTTCCCTGCCTCAATTCGGGAAGTTAGAGTTATAAGCCATGCAGTCAGCTGATCGCTCTAAGCCAATGAGCTAAGCCCTGCACTGCCAGTCTTAGCTTAGTGAAAAGAACCTCTGGCTGTGAAGAGGCAGGGTAGACCCCACGTAGTAAGTCAAACCATTAGAATACAGTCTGATGTTGTGGTTATGGTACTTGGAGTGTTCCGTTAAAGGAATTTCAAGGCAAACTGTTTTAAAAATACAGAATATACAGCATAAACAAAGATTTCAAGATAAATTAATATATTTCTTACATAATCTTTTCAACCTGCTTGTAGGCTAATTGTGTGCACCTCCCTCCTTCCTGCTTCTACATTCCAGTGCAGAGGGCTTTGAGGATCATGCGGCTATAGAAAGGAGGTGGGAACCCGCAATCTGTCACTTCATTCAAACCCAGCCAGAAGAACAAACTAAGCAAACTGCAGCCTTTGTTCACAGCTTGTCAGCTTTTCCATTATAACAATAGAGAACAAGACCGTGCTGAGCATTGATGGAACATTGATCACTCTCATATAAACATCTGTTACATGTGGAGAAATGTTACTCCTACTGAGGGACAAATTACCACAGAAAGGAGGGTAGACAATTTGGGATCACTGTCCTTGGTCTGGACTACCATGTCCACATTTGGTGTCCACCGCTAGTGTGGATTACACAGATTTATCACAAAGCCATTGGTTGCTGGTAACCATAAAGGTCCCCTAAGCCATATAAAGATAAAAAGACAAAACAGACAAAAAAAACAAACAGGAAAAATAAAATAAATAACCATATTAACTCTTCATGTCCTGGCAAATTTTTCCTTTTTTTTTCTTATAGTATCTATACATAGAGTAGAACGGAGTCACAATTAATTATTTCATTTATGTCCTATGTTGCCTACAGCCTTGTCTCTGAATCTCTCCCGAACAGTTAACCCAATGAGCACTTACCCCCAGCATTTGGTGTAAGTAATAGTACTGTGGACCTCTATAGTACAATATGAATGTCTTGTAAAACAGCCATGTGTTGATAGCAAGCCAGGATAACTAAGGGGAAAAGAAAAAAATTAAAAAGGTGTATAATCTGAGATTTTAGATTTCTGTAAGACATATGGGACAGCATATACAATAGTAAGTCATGTGTTGTTCTAGACAGACACCACCACACTTTCCTAGAGCAGCATATATAATGTGGGATAATGGGGATTCATTTCGGGCCGAACTGCAATTCAGTCTAATTTGGGCCAATTAGGTGAACGGCCGAATTCCCAATATATATATATATGAAATATAACTGAACATAGATTAACCGAGCCACACAATGGTGAACATGTTAGGTTTGGAGTCATGATTAGGAATTCTGCCAAATAAAGAGATGATTGATGGGAAAAAAAGATTATTGATGAGTAGGACAATCACTAAATGTTAATTTTAGTCACAGATTAAGTGAGAAGTGACCAAGAGAGGAAAGAAATCTGGCACAGGTTCCGTAAGCATCTTTCCTTCTGCTGTCTACTGGATTTGAATGAAATAAAGCTATGATCTTTTATTCCAACTAGGCTGGACGTTTGTCCTCACGTTTGGTACCTGTTGTTGCTACAGTACTATTGGGTATCCTGTGAGTGGAACTTTCTTTTATATAATGACTTCTACATATCCTTTGGTCACATTCCCATCACTATCTGTAACTTACAGAAGATCTTAATGCATACCTGATTTTATATGCTAAAACCATATTTCACTATCTTACTCTACATCTACCATCAGATATATGCCATATCCAGATATTATCCACTTGGGATATATGTGACTTTATCACTATTACAACTGACTTGACAATGCCACTCCTTTATAGGTCTTATAAACCTGCAGCATACTGCCTGCTTTGGGACTTCAACTCCCATAACACTCAGCCATAGCCACAGGCGAGAAACTACTGTCCAATAAAAAAAGGTATCATTGCATTCCGCATTCTACTAATATAATATTTCAAAGGCAAGCTTTCGAAAGTTTTCCTCTCTTCCTCAGGTCTCAAGCAAATATATACATATTTGTATAAATTGTAAATGCATATACAATTTATAAAACTAAAATGTAATTCAGAACAAGAACAATGTATCTTATTTAAACAGACTGATTTCTAAGCACATTTATTGTAGTTTAAAGACACATTACCATGAGTGTTATTGATGTGGAGCTCTGTTATACTCAGACACACCAACAATTTGGAGTTCCTAGAAAAGAGGGGCAGAGGGATTTTGGTCCAAAATAGAGACTGTCCCTCCTAAATAGGGACTGTTGGGGGTTTGATGAAGGTAAGTGCAGTTACAAAGCTCTCAGACTATGTATGGTATAACAGAGCTCTAAAGCATCACTAATCAGTCAAATCACTGCATGGTCTTAATATAGTGTCTATACATTGTACAATAGCATTGAAATTACAATTTCCGTATAATTTGGTGTATTTTAACTAAAGTGTTCCTTGTTGTGAACTTATAATACAATATTTAGATTAAAATAGACAAATTAGAAAAATGTCTGTTTTTTTTTCCCTATCTTGGCCTACATTCAGCTGTCAGTTCCCCCAAGTTACTATTTAGTAAATACCCTTAGCTTACCTGTGACACAGAGATACGACTCCAGCAGCTGTAAAGCATTGGAGATATCTCCTTCTAGACAATGATTTATATTGTGTCTAGAGAGTTACAGTAATAGAAGCCATATCTATAATGATAAACATTTTATGTCTGGAGTGAAAATACTGTACAAATATGTCAATTAAATATAAATAACAGTTTTCCACATGTACCTTCTCAGATTCCAGGTTCACAATGATACAATATTAATACAATAATGAATAAAAGAAAGTTTAAAAAAGCACTAAAGTTAAACAGGTGTATAGCTTAAGCTCAGTTCACAAATCACTGCATGACAAGCTTAATTTATCATTGCTAAAAAAAAGTTGCTACAGCCCTGCTGAGACAATTGTATAGTTCCCTGACAAGTGAAGGGTTAACTATTAGTATATTGTACATCCCACTCCCACTGGCAAGGGAAGGGTTAATGAATAGCGTACGGTGCAGCCCCATGGCAAGGGAAGGGTTCATGGCTAGTACTTTGAAAGTGAACAGCCCATTGGCAAAGGAAAGGTTAATAATTAATGTACTGTGCAGCCTCCTGTCATGGAAAGGGTTAATGGATAGTGTATTGAAAGTCAACAGCCCATTGGAGAAGGAAGGGTTAATAATGAGTGTACAGTGCAGCATCCTGGCAAGGAAATGGTTAATAGCTTTAATATTGAAAGTGAACAGCCCATTGGAGAAGGAAGGGTTAATAAGAAGAATACTGTGCAACTTCCTGGCAGGGGAAGGGTTAATTGCCAGTGCACTGAAAGCGAACAGCACATTGGAGAAGGAAGAGTTAATAAGCAGTGTATCGTGCAGCTTCCTGGCAGGGAAACGGTTGATAGCTTGTGTATTGAAAGCGAACAGCCCATTGGCGATGGAATGGTTAATAATTAGTGTAAAGTGCAGCCCCGTGGCAAGGAAAGGGTTAATGGCTAGTGCTTTGAAAGTGAACAGCCCATTGGTGAAGGAAGGGTAATGATTAGTGTACTGTGCAGCCTGCTGGCAAGGGAAGGGTTAATGGCTAGTGCTTTGAAAGTGAAAAGCCCATTAGAGAAGGAAGGGTTAATAATTAGTGTACTCTGCAGCCACTTGGCAATGGAAGGGTTAATGGCTAGTGTATTGAAAGTGAACAGCCCATTGGGAAAGGAAGAGTTAATAAATAGTGTACAGTACAGCCCCTTGACAATGGAAGGGTTAATGGCTAGTGTATTGAAAGTCAACAGCCCATTGGAGAAGAAAGGGTTAATAATTAGTGTACTGTGCGGCCCCTTGGCAATGGAAGAGTTAATGGCTAGTGTTTTGAAAGTGCACAGACCATTGGCAAAAGGAAGGGTTAATAGTTAGTGTAATGTGCAGCCCCTTGGCAATGGAAGGGTTAATGGCTGGAGTATTGAAAGTGAACAGACCATTGGCAAAAGGAAGGGTTAATAAGTGGAGTACCGTGCAGACCCCGGGCAAGGAAAGGGTTAAAGTGCCCTTAAGACTTGGGAATGAGTATATATTATACAGTTTTAGGTAAAGATGAATCCTACCAGTAAGAGGTGCTTGGAGCCTTCATTGTACAGCCAACTGCTGCAGTGCAGAGCCATCCTCACTTCATCCAGCTATGGGAACTTCACAATGGTCAGAAGTTTACCCCCGGCAAAATGCGCTTCCTGCTTTCTCCCCTGTGACCTTCATGTCTAAATATTCTCACCACAATGTCTGATTAGCTCAGCCTTTCCATATATCTCTGTGGTTAGTGATGTGGGACAGTCAGACATGGGATTCCTGATGGCAAGCTTAGGGAAGAGCAGCACACTTTAGGAATTGTACATGAGCCAAATTCCAACCTAATACAGGAACTCACAGAGCTGCAGCCTGTCACAGGGGATTTTCCTTTGTTCCCCTGATTTGTAGATTCTAACTGCCAGTAACAATGTATACCTTCCACAAACAGAGTTTTAAATGTATCTCATAAAAGCTCTTTTATTGAATGATCTGACTGCAACTGTAACACTATGTTAAACAATGAGAAAAAACAGATCATTTCCTAACATAGGGCTCTGTGAATGACTTTTCCATTGAGATATTGCTGAACAAAGAGGAGGGATTAGGGCAGAGGGTCTGCAAAGTACAGTAAGCCTGGAGGTACAATTCTATCATGAATAATTTGCTTTTTGTGACAGCTCAATCATATTACCAAAACCCTAAATATTAGCCATTTCAGTGCCACAAGTTTTAAAGCACTACTTTCTACTTTCCCTAAATTAAAGGTAGAGGATGTGTAGATTAGAGTATATATAGACTTAAAAGGTTAATATATAAATTAGTTGAATTAGTGTTTTATATAAATAGGCATCTCTGCCAGTGGTGATACCAATTAATACATCACAGATTATGGTTAGGAATGTTTTCCAAACCAGCTTTCTCAATGTCCTTGTGATTTACTAGCATTTCCTTAGAAGTAACTTTGTCCACAGCAGGCTTTCCACATATTCAACGTTCACGTAGGCCTGCCGTCACTGACAGATCTTTTATATATATATATATATATTACCTTATTTATGACCTATTCTGCCTATTTTTTTAATTGCCGCCATGTTTTTATATCCTGTGTCAAACAGTGTGATGCAACATTTAGAATTGTGGGACATTAATCTTAGTGCAGCACCAGAACATACATGTCCCATTATGTCCATGCTGCAGCTTTCGTTCATGGCCTGGTATTTATTTCTGTCCCTCTTGCCTTACTGATATCCTGGGCAAGGCGATGGGGCTCGAACTCCAATAGTCCCTATGTTAATCTGGCCTTGGGAAAGATGCAAAATGATTGACATCCTGAATTCAATTACGAATGGTGAGATTTTAGTGCTGATACTTATCAAACTCTTATGTGATAATGTCTACCACACATCATTAACTTTGGGAACCAACACCCTTTCTTGCTAATGATTACAAATTATTTATTAGTTCAGAAATAAAACGGGTTGATGGATGGCCAACATTATTTGCGAAATGTAAAATGTAAACCAAACCTCCAAGATTCAACATTCTCTTCCAATTTTGTGGACAATATTGTGTGGGTCAACCGTCTTGTGAATAACCTGGAGCTTCCAACTGGCATGGTACCACCATTGAGAGAAAGACTCTCAGATATGAGCTGGACGTGAGTCTACACCTGAGAGCAGAAGGCTTCTTCATACAACTTTCATTCTTTTCTCGGTCACATTTTGATGATCAAGCTCTTCCAGTGGCTTGCATTTCACATGATTCTCCTAATCAGAAATAGTTGGGTTTTGATCATGGAATTACAAGTTAAAAATTGCCAAAATTGCAAAATAGGCTCAGAATTTCCCAAAAATATAGAGTGTTTCTAATTTGTAAAACTTCTGGTCATTTCAGAAAATATCCCTTTTTTTCAATTAACTATGCTAATTATAAGCCAAAAATAAAAGCAAGAAAATATTCAGACGGGTTATTTTTATAATAGATGTAGAAGAAGGACACTTTTGTGAATTATGAGTCAAAAATGAAACCGTAGTTACCTGGCAGCTATGGATTGATATATTCTATTGGGATGCCTACCTTGGTGGAACTTTGAACTAACTGTAAGCAACAGACTTGTGCATTGTGAAAAAGTTTGGTTTGGCCAAATCAATTCATCAGGAAAAAAAATGTTCTGTCGGTTAGTTTGAAATTTGTCCATGTGGATTTTTGGTAGAGACAAATTTCAACCATGCAATCTTTACAGGAAAAAAATATTGGGATGCAACAAAAAGGTGTAAAAACGGGCCAGTTTACTGTAGAAATTACACATAATATAAATAATATGTTTATATTTCGCAGTACACTGATATGAACAATATCCCCCCATTTGATTAACAGATCAAGCAAAAATAAATAACCAAACGGGGGGAAAAAGTAGGAGCAGTAAAAAAAAATAATAAAAAAAAATCTATACATTTTTATTTCATATATTTTTTAAATATATATATATATATATATATTTATTTATTTATTTATTTATTTATAATAAATATATTTTTCACTGATCCTACTTTTTTCCATCTGTTGGTCACTTCTCATGTAATCTGTGAATAAAATTAACATTTAATAGCTATCCTTATTAAAAAAAAATCAGCACAAACAAATTGCTGTCACTGATTAAATTAACAATAGGAGTATTAATAAGTAAAAATAAATCCACCTATTCCTGTGATTTAATTACAAATATTTCTATTTTTGAGGAGGAATTTACAAGGCATCTCTGCCAGTGGTGATACCAATTAATACATCACAGATTATGGTTAGGAATGTTTTCCAAACCAGCTTTCTCAATGTCCGTGTAATTTACTAACATTTCCTTAGACTTTGCTAGACCACAGCAGGCTTTTCACATATTCAACGTTGACGTAGGCCTGCCGTCACTGACAGATCTTTGTTACATAATTTAATCTCTCGCCTCCTCCCCTAACTGGCCTATTCTAATGGTGGAGTGTGACTATTGTCTTATGTTTACATTTTGTAAAAAGTGAAGAGGACAGGGTGTCAGGATAAATAAGTTGTACCTTACGGGAAAACTCAAGGCACCTGGGTAAAGTGACCAGTTCATTTTGGGAGGAAAACGAAACCATTATCTTGCGGAAATGCACACAGAAATTACTGCAAATAGCTACCATATTCCATTCACGTGTTTGAGCAGTCCTCGTTATTTATTTCTGCTTCTATTTAGTTTGAACCATTCAGAATTGGAGTGATCTCTGCTATAAACAGCAATATCACAGGATTTCTTTGGAGACTTAATTGAACATTACAATTTGAAACGTCATCTGAGAGAGAATGCCGGCTAAATGTCTCATGGAATACAATGTAAGGCGACGAATGGTTGAATGTTCTCATCTAGTTCCTAATTTGAGTAAGAAATGCAGGAGGTATATCAGATTCGTTACAAAGGACCTGTGCTTCTTTTTCTTGTAAATGAAGACGTTTTAATTGTTGTGTGAATTAATGCTTTAAAATGGAAGGTAATCCCAGCTTGTCAGACATCTATTTGTCCAGTGTGGTAAATCTTTGCACACAGTTAAAAGACCACTATAGTGCCAGGAAAACATACTCGTTTTCCTGGCACTATAGTGCCCTGAGGGTGCCCCCACCCTCAGGGACCCCTTCCCGCCGGGCTGGATGGCAAGTAAAGGGGTTATTCTTTCCTTTTTTCCAGCGCCAGGCAGGGAGCTCTCCTCCTACACAAGATACGGTGGGCACTCTGACCAGTCTGCAGCTTCACATCATCAAAAAGTTATGCATTGTTGTTACGGTTGCCCCAGGCTAGCTGAGGTTTGGACCGCCTGCATGTCCTTGTCTCTGAGCTGGGAGAGCGGAAAAGAGTCCCACTTCAGCAACTACCGATATCCCTGGAAGTGTAGATTCTTGTAGCTCTGAGCAGAGCTGGTGATTAGCATTTCCCTACAACACGAGTCGAGGCTGCAAGTTGAGTGTAAGAAGACTGGTTTTAATGGGTATAGGCATCAGCTTTATACAAGTTTTTCCAGGCCAGGGAACACCCACTGGACCTGGTGGGGCACTGAAACACAGGTAACATGGACCAATCACAACAAAGTGCATTTTTCTAAACCCTCCCTCTATCCTGGAGATAATTGGCTTAAGTAGCTGTAGTAACATAATTATCTCCAGGTACAGAAAATATTTTAAAAATCTTAAGTTAAGACTGTAACAAAACCATATTAAAATACATAACTCATATTACACATAATTCACTCCCCATGTTCAACATATCCACAGATAGCTTGGATCTGAGTGCTTAATATCCGAAAAGCGCTCAGATCTCACGAATACAGTTGGATCGCCATGGGGTTAAAGTGTTCTCAACGACCGTTTTTCAGCAAATTGAGCTACAGTAGCTCAAGTTCGACAGGCTTTATGGATTTTAAAAGGTTTTAGAAAAAAAGAAGATATCAAATGGTAAGTTTATTTTTGTATTTACAGGTATTTAGTTTTATTGTTTCCCCCCTCACTATTTTGGGGGGGTAGGTATGGTTTTAGTTTTTTTTGGGGGTGGGGGGTGACTAGGAGCTTGGGGATCCCTAATCACCTAGGAAGGGGGTATTTGTTCATTTATCCCCCACCCGTTGCCCATGGGTGGGGGCCGGGGGTGAAACAATAGGTCTCCCCCCATTGTATTTTAGGGCCCCTACCTGCCACTCATGGATGATGGCCAGGGGGAGCAATAGTTCCCCCCCTTATTGTCATTTAGGACCCCCACCCGCCACTCATGGGTGAGGCCGGGGGGGAACAATAGGTCCCCACCTTATTGTCATTTAGGGCTGCCACTTACCGTTCATGGGTGGTGGCGAGGGGGGACAATAGGTCCTCCCCATTTTGTCATTTAGGGCCCACACCGCTGCTCATGGGTGTGGGCCATGGGGGGAACAATATATTCCTCTCCTATTGTCTTTTAGGGCCCCCACCCGCTGCTCTTGGGTGGGGGCCAGGGGGGACACTAGGTCCCCCCCTTATTGTCATTTAGGACACCCAACCGCTGCTCATGGGTGGGGGCTGTGGGGGGCAGGACAATAGGTCCCCCCCATTG